TCAATTCTTCAAAAGCATTCTAATTACAAAAACTATATTCACTAGCTATATTCAGCCAGCAATTCTACTCATAGAGTAGAGCCTAGACTACATACTACTCCGTATATTCCAAAAATATTCTGTATTTATTGTAATAAAGATAATATCTCTAACTATAGGGGGCTGTTCCATTCGGCGGTGTGGGAAAAACAGCAAAACATCTAATTACAAAACAAACAGAATCACATTTCATCGGTAATTGTAATTAAATATGTAATTTTTCAATTTTTGTCCATTATAGCAAAGTTCAAGTTAAACTGGTTGATTTGAAGTGAAACAATTGACGACACCCGTCCATTGTTTCGAATTCGGGCTGGCGAATCGGACAGCAGTTGTCACAGTAATGATATGGCAGAATAGTTTTCAAACAAATTAAATGACATTTCGTCTCTATTACTGGTTATATACTCGATGCCGGCTACACATGAAGCCAATTAGGGAGTTAAAATAATTAATGACCATAGTCTAAACGGCTTACTTGCGTGTTTGCATATTTGACTCCTTCGATGTGTGTCGAGAAACCGATCAGCGCGAGGCAACGCGAGTTTAGTGCTTGTTGTATTTGCCGAATAGGCGAACAAGGCAAATACTTTGTCACACATATGGTGATTGTTTGCCAAATATATAAAATACGCGAATACAAATATCCATATGAAGTGTCCAAGTAACCAAGGTATCATTAATGCATTCACTATGCAATGATGGACTAGTATTTGGCGTTAACATATCGATATTGTTAAAAATATTCAAGTTGTTTTTAATATTGCGAGTTGCACTTTTTAGTCATTATTTTATAAACTTGCATTTGTTGCATGCTTTTGTATTTAAGATCATTGCATTCCTTAGGTTCCTACACATCGAAAAGTAAAAAGAATCTTAAAAAAAAAGGAAAAGGGTGATTGAATAGTAGTAGTAAAATTTTTCGTCCTCCGGGACAGGCTAAGGCGTCTAAACCATACTGCGAAAACTAAGATTTAAAAAAAACGTGATTGTTGTTTGCAGTAAATGCAATATGCAATCGTATTGTAAGCAATCATGCTCGCAATAGAACACCAACATTATATTGACCGACGTGTTACTAATATTTTTTTATTTTACATCAATATTTTTTATTGAATGGATATTCAATTATTTTTCATTTTTAATTTAAAAGTTAAATTATTTTTAATCGTTGAAAAACCCAATACAAAGACACGACACAAGCACATAGAAAAATTCATGGGGATTTTAACAAACTAGTGGAGTAATTTCACAAAAAATAATTGAATATCAATTCAATAATAATTTAAAATACAGTGAACAGTGACATCTCTGGCCAGGACTGATAGCTGTAAAGGTACTAACTGGGTGATAAATCTTTCATAGATTTCTCATAGATGGCGCTACGACAAAAAAGTCGTTGAAAAACCAAATACAACACATAGAAAAATTCGTGAGGTCCACTGGTTCATTCCGTGGCTTAGTTGGTATAGCGTCTGGCACAGTAAGCTAGAAGACGTCGCGCGCGTCAGTTCGAATCCGGCCGGATCGAAGGAATTTTTTCTGAGTGTCGATCTTTGTATTAATAATTGTAACAAACTAGTGGAGTAATTTCACAAAAAATAATTGAATATCAATTCAATAAAAATTTAAAACCCATTATGATATTTTAACCGACTTTAAAAAAGGAGTAGGTTCTCAATTTGACCGTATTTTTTTGTGTGTATGTTACTCCGGCCGATTATTGAACCGATTTTGATAATTCTTGTTCGTTGGAAAGGGGGTACCTCAGTATTGGTCCCATTTAAATTTGAAGAAAATATTCCACCTCTAAGGGTAGCAAATGAGGGGATAAATCAGGTTTATTCGATTTAAACCACTTTCCGTTTTCAATAAAACTTGGCAAATAGACGTAATGCCACAAACTATTGAATTTGGTTTATTTTTTTATAAAAAAATTATTTGTTACACTATTTTTTTCACATTCCTTGACATTGTGTTTTAAATTGTAATATTGTGACATTGATAATATGAAATACATTAACCGATATTTTTGTCGGATGACATATCGGGTAACTTAAGTAAAATGTGGGCCAACATGTTCGCCAATGAATGTGGCGCGTAATGCAGGGGGATCCGTGTATAATCATAGGATATGTCACAATAATAATACTGCGTCTAATGTACAGTCAACAGCGCCTCAAGCTGTACACATGTTCGAAAATCGCCTTCCGTGCAACGGAACAAGGTCCGTCAACGTGTAGCTTAATGTATCTATATTTGAAGTCTACTTGTTACCAGTAAAATCTAGTCATATTTGCGATTTATTAAAACTATCTACATCTATTTTTTCAGGCTATCTGCTCGTCGGATTGACCTTCATAATGTTTACACTAACCGTCTTCTACGACATCCCGCAACTGAACCTAAGCACCGTATTTTCCTCCGTGAAACTCGATGAAGATCCAGAGAAGATGCGCTTGAGTGGATCTGGTGTAATGGGACCGGGATACGGCATTGGCGGGCTGGTAATGCGGGATGATTATGGCCACCACGATCAACGCCGCTCCGTGGTTCATATTCGACCTCATCTTGACGATAGCCCCAGCCCTGAGGACACCACCCCGGTTCACGCTCGAGACATGAGGGTTCATTAAACATGATCACGAAAAAAAATACAGGTGATGTTCGCATCGTTTCACATTTTGACAGCAGGTAGTTAGTATCGAGCGATGATTTTGCCACCAAGATTTAAAAAAAAGGCGGCGAATGATTGTCGCCGATCTTCTGAGTTGTCGAAACGATAGCGAACGTCACTATTGTAGAACCCTCCAAACCCCAACCATCGATCGGTTTCTGATGTCACGGAAATGATATTGAAAAAATTGGTGTCGTGGTAAATGTATTGCTTTAAATATGTAACTCATGTGAGTACTTTAACTTTGTTTATTATCTCAAAAAAGTTTTAAATGTTTACAAGTAAAGAAATAAATTTTGTTAAAATAATCTTCTATCTGCATCCCACGCGGAATATATTGTGTAATAAATATAAATGTCTAATGATATTATTATTGTTAAAATACTAAGTAATATTTATAAAGATATTAATAGGTATTAGTGGTAAATGATTGTGAAGAAATTAATAACTGTACGCCCCTATTCAAGCAGGACAAATTTCATAGAGAGGAATAGGTAAATATTCGAAATTCAAGCACCAGGTAAATACACGTTTTCAAACATTTAAAATTGTGAACATTGAAACTTGATGAGAAAACAAAATAGAGATGAATGAAGAGAAATGAAAAAAAAATCTTCTATCCCTTTATCAATTACCGTCCTAAAATGTTCATAATTTCCTTCTATACTTATTATTATTTGAAATATACATTTTGCTTGAAACACTAATGCCATCAGCTGGTCGAACTAGTTGAACTGAGTTTTGATAAGACTGACGAGGTTTTTCAAAATTTTCACTTTTCTATTTCACTTTGTACATTTTTTACGCAAAGTTATATTTGCGCGGTGGACATTCCCGAAAAAACAAGTCGACTATAATCATGGACAAGTTAGCGACAATCCGACCTGCACAGACTGAAAACGACGAGGCCCCCTCGATGTATACGTTTTACAAGTAAATTATTACAAATTATTCTTCAATATCAACAGCATATCATGAATGGATTTTATAAAATTGTCTTTACCTTTTTGAAAGGATTTACGGGCAGCCTATCACAAAATAGTACCTACCTATCGCAAATTGTTTGTTTTTAAAATAAGTCAGCTGAACTATAATTTCTAAATTTTGAAAGTAAAGTAAAAATTAATTATTAATTGTCTTATTTTTAACAAGGACAAAATTATCTAGGATTAAATTTAATATAGTTAAAATTAATAATTTCGTAAAATTTATGTACTCAAAATATAATTGTAGATTAAATTGACGTTCTTACGTATCAATTATGTGTGATAGATGACCAATAATTTAGTAGTCTTTGGATTTATTAAAACAAAAAGAAATATATATTTAAAGGTCTTTAGTAGGAAAATTTCTATATATTTAAAAAATATTCTATATAAAACATAATTTGATAAAAATTATCTATTAAATAGTAGCGTGGAACGCAGATTGTTTGTGCTATCTAGTATCAACTATATTTACAGAATAATATATAGTAGTTAAGCTTTATGTAAATAAAAATCACACTTTTCTAAAGTGGTAGTTTAGGTCACACATCGATGTTCGAACTTCATGATTTAATTAGTAAGTGTTTCACGTCAGGGTTGTTGCGAATAACCGCATCTGCATCAGCGGATAATCTGCATATATTAAAACATCCGCATTTATCGATGCTGATATTCATTGCGGATATTCGAGTCGTGACATGACCTAAAAGGCACGCTGGAACAAATTACAAACCTTCCAGAAACAGACTGTAAATCGAAAAGCAGTACAGCTGCTGTTTTTAAAACATAATTTTGATAAAATTACACAACGGTTAAGCCAGGCAGATTAATTCTCTTGTTAATCGGTAAATGTCACAAAATCTTTGAAATAATACTATTTTCCTCATGTCGATAGATTCATTGAGGATGCAAATTTTTCTCGTCTCGTCTTTTTTTGTACATAAAATCAGCATCCGCATCAGCATTCGGTGATGTGTAAATGCGTCAGCAACAACCCTGTTTCACATTATCAAATTAAACCAATCATTTTGTCGCACCCAATCACTCTTCGTATGGCTGTGAAGTTCCTATAAATTATAATTTGGCTATTTTGATACCTGCAACAATCCTGCTTTTCTTTTGTAAGTTTGAATCTAAATGCAATCAATGACAATATTGTTGAACTTATGAAGTTATTAGAGAGTGACTATAAATTATTTTAATACTTATTGATAATGCTATCTAATGAACTTCTTTTATGTATTACAGACTAAAGATTTTATTCCGTAATTTAAACGTAGTCTTTAAATTATTATTTGTCCTTCTTAAGTGAAGCAATAAAGGAGAATTTTGTCACTCTAAGCACTACATTTTATATATTTTAGAATTTAAAAATACATTATAATCACGAGAATATATTGGATGTTAGATTTAGTATAGATTTGTATAATCATTAATACTAAATTACAAAATTTTAACTGTTGGCTCATCAATGTATAAAATGTTTAACAATAAAAATAAGCGGTAATGTAATTGAAGTTTACAGATTCAAAGTAAATTATTGAAAACATTCTAATAAATCAGCTTAATTGTGTCATTGTTGTTTTATTACCAGTACCAAGATCCAGTATAAAAAAATTCTTAATCACCGTAGACAATGGTAGAGGTCTTAAGTCAATTTTTTTTTAAATTTATTAAGGCTTTGGCAAAGCCAAAAACCTAAACATGAAGTTTAATTATGTTTCTGTAAATATGGCCGCCCCAAAGAGGATAGGCAATTTGAGGCGGGGTGCTTGGATTGACTCGGGATTCCTTAAAACAGGCCGATACGGGTATTCTAGTTCGAGATTCGTATAATTTCGCGTTTTAATCTTCGATTAAGGCACACTAGCCTAATTTGTGCCTTAATCGAAGATAAAAACGCGAAATTATACGAATCTCGAACTAATATCCCCGTATCGGCCCGTTTTAAGGAATCCCGAGTCAATCCAAACACGCCGCCTCAAATTGCCTATCCTCTTTGTGGCGGCCATATTTACAGAAACATATTTAAACTTCATGTTTAGGTTGATGGCTTTGCCAAAGCCTTAATAAAAAAAATAAAAAAATAACCTCTTAGTTCACTTCATGTTACAATAGTACTAGTGGTTTGTGCTTCATGTGTAGTATCGGTATTTGGCAATTAGGTCTTAGTGTTGTCTCATAAAAGAATATTAGACCAAACCCTTATTACACCATATAATTAAGATTTTAAAATATTTACTTTGTATCCGTATTCCATTGCCGAAAGTATTGTGTAAGTTATAAGTACCAAGATGGAATCACCGGTATCAGCTTTTGCCATTTACAAAGCTAATAAACCCAAAGTAAACAATAAAAAGCAAAAAAAGAAGAAAAAACATCCCAAAGGAAACCCTACAGTCCAACAACAATCACCGAAAACATCAAATAAACATATTTTTGAACTTCCCGAAGATGTGTTGCTGCAAGGAGCAAAGAAAATAAAACAGAAGCAGAAGAAGACGAAAGAAGCAAAGACTATCGGTATAAATAAGACCCTTAAGAAGAAAAAGCGAACAGAACCGAAATCAAGCAAAAAAAGCAAAGTTGTAAATAAGCAACATGAAATTAATGGAGTAAAAAAGAACCGAAAACTACCTGAATATGAAGAAGTCCCTATGTTAATACCGTCTGTACAAAATCATCTCAATATTCAAGTATCTGATGACGATTCGTGTTCGCACTCTGATGATGATAGTTTTGAGTTTGTCCCAGTTCAAACAGACAGCAGCAATGAAGGTCTAAAAGCCTTCAAGTGGATGATCGCACCATACAACCCTGATGAATTTCTTAATGGTATTTGGGAGAAGAAACCTTTACACATAGCCAGGGAAAAGCCGAATTATTATAAAGAACTAATTTCAACACCCATCATTGACGATATGTTACGTAATGAAAATATTCAATTTACCAAGAATATTGATGTAACTTCCTATATTAATGGTAAGAGAGAAACGCACAATCCGGAAGGAAGAGCCCATCCACATCTTGTGTGGGATTTCTATCTTAATGGATGTAGTATTAGGCTTTTGAATCCTCAAACTTATATACCAAAATTACACTTGTTAAATGCTACGATGCAAGAATTCTTCCACTGCTTTGTTGGTGCCAATGCATATTTGACCCCACCAGATAGTCAAGGATTTGCCCCACATTATGATGATATTGAAGCTTTCATATTACAGATAGAAGGTAAAAAACACTGGCGAATTTATAAGCCTCGTGCTGAAAACGAGACATTGCCAAGAATATCTTCCAAGAATTTTGACCAGGAAGAAATTGGGGCTCCAATCATGGAGGTAATTTTGGGAGCTGGAGATATGCTTTATTTTCCTAGAGGATATATTCATCAGGGTGTCACTATAGACGGAGAACATTCCCTACATGTGACTGTGAGCATGTATCAGAAACACTCCTGGGCAGACTTATTTGAGAAATTAGTACCAGCAGCTTTACAAATAGCAATTGAAGAAAACATTGAATTGAGAAGAGGTCTGCCTTTTGATATTTATGACAATTTTGGTTTGGTTCATTCTGACATGAGAACCCTAAGGAGGGAAGAGATCACAGAACTAATTAAAACACTATTTGAGAAAATTAAAGCCCACTTGCCTATAGATGATGCTGTAGACCAAATGATGAAGAATTACCAACATGATGTTCTACCACCAGTTCTAAGTGATTTGGAGAAAGCAGTTACGGTTCATGGAGACACTGATGTTATGATTGAGAATGGGCAGGTCATAAACAGAGTTGAAATAAGCCTCGACACCAGAATACGGCTGCTGAGAAAGAATATTTTAAGAATGGTATCTGAGGACAAAATTAGACTTTATTATTACGCTGAGAATGCCCTAGAATATCACGGTAGTGAATTGTCATTTCTTGAAATTGAAGAGGACTTTGCTCCTGCTGTAGAAACGTTGATAACCACATATCCCGAGTATGTGTCCGTTGAAAACCTGGATATGCCTAATGATACTGATAAGTTGCAGCTAGCTGGTGCTTTGTGGTCCAGGGGTTTGATTATGACCGAGTACCCTTTATATACTATTGATAGTGAATAAATAAAGCATGTCGATACCTCCAATGAACACTACGCCATCTTTATTTTTTGTTCGTCTTCTGTTATTTTTGTAAACAGCCATATTTATTTGTCTTAGTAAATAAATATGGCGGTTTAATATAAATATAATCTTAGTTGTGCTCCCCGAATTCTGTGAAAACAAGAACAAAAAAAACGAATTTTGTAAAAAAAAAGAAACAAAAAACAAAATAAAAACAGAACAGGTCCAAAAATTAAGTTGGCTCAGTGTTCATTGGAGGTATCGATGTATACTTCATTTCAATCCATTTTAAACAAATAAGTCACTGACCCAACCACAGACGGTTTGGTGATGACCAATGAATCGATTTGTTTAATTGAGTCATACTAGCGGTTTTCATTACATAACCTATAAAATAATTTGAAATTTCCAAAATCTTAATTTTAAAATCTTCAAATCCTTACACTTAGATACTAAGTTGATTGCGATTGAAATTTTCAATTGACTAATTAATAACAAAAACTTTAATTGAATGAACTGAATGTTTTTTCCATATAGCACTATGCAACCATGGACTTAACCACAGACACATACGACTACCATTTTTCTAATACTATTTTATGATGTTATTCAAATTGTTGGGAAAAGTGATGAGATATCAAGTCAAAATCTTTGAAATATACGTGAAAGAGTTACTTAATTAATATTGAGTGATTGCTTTAGAAATTCAACCAAACAGTTTTGTTTATATTTCGTTTCAAATGTAGGTATTGTTACAGACTCGGACTTCGGCACATGGATGTTTCATTGGGTGTTCAATAAAAACAACTTATATTTTCTTAAATTATTATATTTTAATTTTGAATTGCATATAAATTTGTGGACTTTCTGTTACAATAGTACTCTCGAACTGATATCTTTGTATAAAACGCTAGAATATGTTTTAAATCTATTGTACCAGAGGACCAGAGTCTCAAACATTCGCTCCATGTAGGTACAAGTTATAAACAGAAAATACACACACAATAATTTATATACTAAGCTTATTCTTCTTTAGAATTATCCTACATTAAAAATACCACCTAAAAATTAGGTACTTAATTTTTCTAGTGATCGCACACACACTCACGCTCGCACAGAGCTTTATGGGTATAACAACATAAGGGTATAATGAAAAACAATATAACAAAAATGTTGAGGCCACCATGTATGCCGCTAAATGTAAAAACAACCTTATATCAAGCAGTGATGTAACAAACTTGACGGAATATGAATGGGGCATACATGAGTACGCTGAGGTTCCTGACCAACAATACTCGTCTTCAATTAATCCAAGGGAACCCAACAATATCGGATATTTCCTACTAGCAGTACATAGTTTCATTTATTTATTAACGCTATGTCCATGAAGATATATTAACAAGTAGGCAGTGACGCTATAACATTTGGTATTCAACTACAATTGCAAGGTAAAAACATTATATTATTCTTGGTCCAGACTGGCGGTAAAGAAGACAAATTTATGTATTTCTCGTAAAATATTCCACAACACACTACATCTTAAAATAAACATGGTTCATATCAAAATATATTCTCGAGTGAAGCAAACTTCCATGATAATAAAAAACATTCTGATACTTTTTAAAATTCTTTGTACTGATATACAAGATTTTCGTCGCACTAATTTTCAATTTTAGTTATAGCCTAGTCTAATAAAAAAAGTTTCTAAATCTATTGCCTAACACGGAGGCGAAACCTCTCGATATAATAACGTCAATACGAGCCAATGTAATCGCCGGCCACATTTATTTGCCTTCTGTGAGAACCTATTCCAAGCATCTCTACAGAGAACACTACGTAATCTTATATGTAACATAAAGGCAACAGCAACCGTCTTTTCAAAATCCTTCTATCTCCGTACGCGTATCTGTTTTATGTATTCAAGTCAATTGTTTCAAATCGAAGTATGTCCAACCGCTAACGCAAACAAATGTGGCGAAACCTCTTATAAAAAAAAATCTGTTAACATTTTTGTTATTAATAAATTGTAAATATTTACAGTGAACGCTACCTTACGATTTAATAGTTAATTCATGTTAGTATCAACCGATTACTTACTCCCCAAACGTTAGAAAAATGTAATACACCGATATAAAAGAAAATTACACTCAAATGGATTTTCACATATTTTTAAAATTATTGCTTCACATTTTCTTAGTATGAAAGATGAAGGAGAAAATAATGCCTTAGTAAACGGGCAACTTGAAGGATTCCACAAATTCATTTGAAGTTATAAACAAATGGTGTAACCAAACAATTTAAATTCATAGTACGGATCTCCTTTGTCTATGAGCAATGTTCATTTTAGACTTATAAGTAAGATAGTATTTTAAATATTCCGCTGAAGTTCACCATGTTGCGCTTAATTATATGACTATCAATAATGTACTTTCATTTTGCAAAATATGAAAACATTAATCAAGTTCAAAACTTTTCCGACATTACAAGTAAGAGTTACAAGTAAAATAACATGATTATGCAGACAGAAAAGATTCATACAAAAAAAAAATCTTTTAATAGATACGCGGTCAACAGTGGAAACGTTCACTAGAGTAGTCACGAACAAAAAAACCACATTAGCTGGTATATGCAAATTATTGGGAGCTTTTAGTTTGTTTAGTTTTAGAATAATATATGCTATCCCAAGAGGACATGAAATACCAACGACCCACGACGGCCAAATTTCGTTTCTAGTCTCTTATTCTATGCATAATTAAAGTCCGTTTTTTAACGTCATGTGAATTTTTAGAGAAAATAAAATCCAAAATATTTTTGGACAACATAAAAGAGTGCACAAAGTAAACATTTTATTTATTAAAAAAAAGTAAAGGCGCTGTTTTGTTACATAAGGCCGACAGCAAATCACGTGAGTTGGTACATTAGTTTTGCTCGGTTACAACTCTGGTTTGGTATGTGTTTTAAACGTCGTGGTAAGATTTCAATGTCTACTCTAATGATCGTTACGTAATCGTCAGACGACCAATCTCGCATCAATCAGACTGAAGAAACTGCGCGGGACTAAGAGCGTAACAAAAAAGCGCGACAGAAGATCGAGTAGACATGTTCAAAGTTCAGAGTGTAGAACCGTTTTATTTGTGACTCCTCGAAATAGCTGCCAGTCCTACATCAGTCCATTACCGGTGTTGATACTGTGAAAAATCTAAAAATATTTTCATTCCTACTTACCTACTTTAGACCTGAAAATTAGTTCATCTAAAGAATCGGATTCAACAGACGCCGTCGTTTCTTCAGTCCGACTAATATATAAATTCAGACCGAGTCGTCTCGTGCAGTTTTCCATAGACAGATTAATGTTCTTCAACGTCGATCAATAGAGTTAGTAGAGACTCGTCCGACCGCTTTGTACTCTATTTCCGCAGTGACAGATATGGAGAAGCGTCCGATCGTGCCTCGGCGCGTGTGCAGTCGCGGGGCGAGTATTATTTAATTTTGTGCGCGGGCGGCTTGCGCGGCGCGCGGGTCGCCTTGCCCGTCGACGTCGACGGCTGCGGCGCGGGCGCAGGCTTGCTCTCTGCGCGAATTGCATGCGAATTAATCATTGCTGCCTTTGCCGTCGGTGCCTACACACAGACTACCGCTAATTACACCCACTCACGAGATAAATAAATGTAGGCCATACAATACACTTTATAGCAGTAGAGTAGAGGCATGGTTTCGAAAAGTAAGGGTGCTGGTGAAAATACAGGAATTATAGGACTGGGCCAATTTATGACTCAGTGTGACGGGCGCAGTGGCAGTGCCCCTCAGATCTTAATTAAGCATCTGATTGGCACTGCAACTGTTATGGATAGGCGTGTCACTTATCACCAGTCGCACGACTTGTTAGTATAATATTTAAAAAATACAAATAATTGTCGCAGGCCGAGATCTCAACGTGGCAAACCAACATGGTAACCGTTCGACCTCGGAGGCTTATTGTTATGAAGCACTGTTGCAATTTGATATGACCATTACACAATTTTGTATTTTGTTTTCTATAAATATGTGTTTATATCAATATGTACCAATTTATTTCGGAAGTGATTGTAAATGTTTGTTTCTGCTTGCAATTGTGCTGAATAAACGTTTTATCTTATATAGGTTCCCAGGCCGGGATAAACGTGTGTATGGCCTACATTTATTTCTCTCGTGTTTGGGTGTAATTTGTGGTTGTCTATGTGTGTGTCCATGGCACCCACGACCCAGGGTGCCCTTAGTGCGGGGCTATTACAAAAACAAAACAAAAAATACAATGGGAACGCGCCCTAACATTAGCGTACATTGAAGCGCTAAAATACATATGGAATACCTGTGAGTTGAGATCTGTCACTAGAATTTCAAAATGTAACTGTATTACGATATATATATAGCGAAGTATCTCACCTTTCACAGCGGTGGTAGACCGCCTTCCCTTACGCGTTGGAGTGACAGTAGCTACCGGGATCTCCCTTTCCTTAGTGGCCTTGGCGGGCGTACGTTTCGGTGTGCTTTTGCCTTTAGCTTTCTCAGTTACAGCTGTTGCCGTCTGTTGAAGTTTATTAGAATTAAGTAGTTGTGTGAAATTTTAATATTATTTGTTGATTTGGTGGTTCATATTCTGCGTTAAAAATAAAATAACATTGCGTAGTGCAGGCCCTGTACTCTCGTCCTCCGTGCAACATCCGTCTGAAATAATTATTGTCAAATAAGTAATACTCCATCAAATCGAATAATGCTTCATTCTTGACGTCTTCTAGTTTTAAAATTTATTAAAAAATGTAATTTATCAAACGCTTTTGTTTTGCTTTTCTTTTTTGGTTTTAAATATCTCAGTTACTTTCTTCATTTGTTTTTGAATTTAGTTTATAAACAGGAATTGGGCTATCCGAGTCCAAATTAGTTCGTAAGAAGAAAACGTGAAAAATTTCCACAAAAAATCTCCAAATTATGTACCAGTTGTAAGAGATTCGCCATTTTTCTGCAGATCTCTTGTTAAGTGTACAGTATTTTTGTTATTGAGTTTCAAGTGCAGAGAGATAAGTGATTTTCTTACCATGGCTATACAAATTAAAGATTTCTTTGTGGAAAATGTCACTTATGAGGTTATATCTTTAAACAGACGATATATATATTTAGCTCACATCTGGTAGGTTCCATTGTACTCGAATTGTATTTAAGCATGTTTCTAGTTAAGACTGATAAACTCTGTAACCAGTTTTGTAAGCCAAATATATAGTAAAAAAAATTGGTTGAGTATTTCTTAATTGACAGTAATTGTTTTGGACAGAGGACAAGAGTAGACCGTCACAATTGGACTGCAGCTGAAAAGAGCATTAAGAAAATTACCAATACCATTACCAAGACTTGCAAGGTTGAAGTCGCTAGCCATCGAGTAAATTAAGTGGCAAATTGTCAACACCTCCAGCATTCACAAGAAAAACTAATATAGACGCATCTTTGGGCTTCACAAGTACTAAAAATTTACATACATTATTTTTACGCGATCACCAGCGATTGTGAATTAATGGTACAGGGTACTTAACACCGTAAAGCCAAAAGACAGCATTGATATTCTGTACTTCATTGCTCAATACTAATTATCTGTGAAAGATTTAGTAAATAAATTAGTATAAACAGGCGTTTAAACGAAAACAAAAGCATGAAAGACAGAATACCATTGCTGCTGGACTGTTTTTGATTTACGTGGTTATTAATTCTGTTGGCACTGTTATTGGCATGCCATAAAAACGCGAAAAGATAATTTGCTATCACGGTACATAAGCATAAAGACCAATTTTCTGTTATCTAAGCAACAGGGATCACAATTAAAATATTCCAACTTAACCTTTCTCATACTTCCATCGTTACATTATACAACATTTACTGTTTAACAATAAAGAAATCTTTCATGCAATATAACAATTACAACATGCTTATGAAAAAAGTTTTAAAGTCAAAACGCAAATAATCGAAGGTGACAGGCCAATAAAGATAATTAAAAAAAAAACATTTATAAAAAGAATATCTAACACAAAAAGCAAGCAATGATGATGGGTGAGGATGAGATTTTGAATTGTTTAAGTGAAATTTTGTCATATATCATTTCATTTGCTAATTTTAATATTTAAGTTAACGTCAAAACTTAGATAATACTCGTATCAAAACATCGTCCAGTATGGTATTGGCATGAAATAATGTTATTACTTTAGAAAAAGACGCATCGATTAGACAACGTAACGAAACCTGCATTTCGGACAAGGTAGAGTTTTTTTTACCTAAACTTAGAGGAACATAGACAGAAAATGGAGACTGCCTTGCGACAATATTTTTAGGACATTTTCGGGATTCGGGAAATCACTTAAGAACATTAAAAATTGACGTAATTGGGGACATGCAGGTTCACTTTATTTATCTTAACTTTGCGACGCACTACTGCAATATTGGGGACATTGGATTTTTTTTTTCTAAAAAAAGGCCAATCGAGAGATCCTATTGTCCTAATTAAATATTGTCATATCACATTTTGCCACAAATCTAATGTTTAGTAGGAAAAAAATAAAATGTGTATTTTTTGTATGGGACCATACCTTTAGACCGTCGTTACAAAGTCTTGGAATCACTACAGACGTATTATTAGACCTATCTTCTATAGGTTAGCACACTAAACGCGCGCCCATATCTGCCTAATCACTACTTATACGCGTCAGAAAATGTGCAATATAAGTAGTGACTATTCACTAATAATATTAATCAAAGAATATCAATTGCGTATGCAATTGATATTCTGAGAATCTGGCATTTTGCTAATCTGACGTTCTGCCCGTTAGGCAATAAAGCGTCAAAACGGCCGTAGGGTTGTAGCATTATTATTTTATTTGTACCTACAGGTTGTAAACATGAAATAATTAAGGTCTTCATCACAGTACTATCCTGCTGTATTGAAATAACCTTTGTTAAATGCAGTAGTTACTAACAACGTATTGATATTTTATGTAATACCAGCATCACGGATCTTGATTATGAAGCACGACTATGAAATCTGAACAATTCTGAATTTGAGGCACTCTTGTTCAAACAACCACAAACAACAATAAGAACGTCTACTATTTGAAGTAATTTTTTTTAAACACCGAACGACCGCTTCATTTTTATAATAAATCGCATGTGAGACGACTCGCGTTATGCAACGCGAGTGCACCGCGAGATTATGCGAATGTGGGCGTCCGTACACAGGGCGCGACGTGCGTGCACTCATACAAGTTGCGCTGCTACGTTTGTAAGGAGTTACCATATTTGTTTTATTATACTATGCTCAAAGATTAATTTAGTTCGTTATGTAAATACGAAAAACTTGGCACAGTCAGAATCAAAGATAGTTTCGTAAAGCTTTAGAGATTGAGACAGTGGGATTTATTGTCCTCTACATCACGAATGCACACAATTTAAAATTTTAACACGAAAACGTTGCAACCGATTCAGAAACTCGTGTCCTACGTCGTGATGGAAATAAGTCGTCAAAATTGTACATTATGTCAATTATACTACATTTTTTTCCAAGACAGAGTCAAAGGCAGACAGAGTTATCGACTGCATATATGACGACCTCGGTGGCACAACAGTCAACAGGTCCTGGGTTCGATTCCCGGTAAGACTAAATTGGGAAATGAACTTTTCTAAATTGGTTCTGGTCTGGGTGTTCTGGGAAGTGCTGCAGAGTGAATTCCGTTGATCTGGCACTCAGGCGGAATTCCATAGTTTGAAACCAGGCAATTGGTGTGGTTGGCTGGTATTACTATCGTAGGTTACATTTACGCAACAAACTGCCGAAATTGTTTCCTTTGAATAAAATTAAAAATCTTAAAAAATAATCTTGAAAGAATGAGACCGAGTACATCCATGAATTGATTTCGATGCCAATGGACAATCTTTCAAAATAAAAAAGAAAGCCATAATGCAACTATTAATCTAATAATAAAAATAATTAACTGCCTCCGTGGCCGAACGGTTACCATGCCGGACTGCCACGCAGAGGCCCCAGGTTCGATTCCCGGACCGGGAGAAATATTTGTATGGCCTACATTTATTTCTCTCGTGAGTTTGGGTGTAATTTGTGGTTGTGTATGTGTGTGTCCATGGCACCCGCGACACAGGGTTTCCCTAGTGCGGGGCTATGTTGAGTGTGTGCGTTATTATTATTATTATTAATCATTAGAACGTTACATTTTTCATTCGTTTTATGAAAAAATTATGTCACTTCACAATCAATCGATAAAAATGTCGACAAATTAAATGACTATATAAAATTTTCCAAAAAATAACAACCTTGAAAGCGTCAACTGACTTCGTCTTGCAAAAAAATTTTGTATATTAAAGACGACCTACGTGATCGAATGACTTGCACACCAGTTTTCATGGTGTCGCCATCTCTGTGGTCCCGGATTGGATCCCGGTAGAAAACGATCTTTTCTATATTATCTCAGGTCTGGGTGTTTGTGGTATAGTCTTTGTTTCCGATTTCCATAACACAAGTACTTTAGGTACTTACTTTGGGATAAGAGTAACGTATGTGAGGTCTAATATATAATATTTATATTTATAATGTTGTAAAAACCGTACGAGAACAATAAAAAGGAAGTCTATAGTTAAAGATTTCTACTTAGTAAGGCAATCGAAATATAGAGAAAAGAAGAAAAATTTAAGAGATATAGCATGCGTTTCGTGCATCTCCCAGTTACCTTGAGATCCAAATAAATATAAATGTTTATTAGCTTTTCTGCCCATACAATTTAATATTATTTTATTTTTAAATTACGGTTTCGATGTACGAAATGGCCATGAAATAATAAAATAATAATAATTTAATACCTCTACCCAATCAAATCAATGTTCACGACCACTGAAATAGTAATTCATAACATACATATAGTACTCATCATACATAACCAAGGGCATGCGCATAGAAGTAAACAGAACTTTGTAACTTAAATAATAAAATTTTTTACTAATTAAAATTAAAATCAACTTTTATATGAACCAAATACAATCAGTGCGTATCTGTTTATGTTAAAAAATATTTATTTAAACACTTACATGCGAAACACAAAAACTATCTACTTATCCATTATAATTTTTCTCTATAGCTTTTGGGAAAAAATCCAAAATTAAATCTACAGTTTCACACCTCAATGACATTTAAAGATGCGAAGACATAAACAGATACATATCCGTCTCGCTCGCACCTCAGCAGAAGCGCCACATGCGAACGAGACGGCGCACCTCCAAGCACACCCCACTCACTCTCGGACATGAATGTAGATGGCGATGACTGCAGATACGTACATTTCTATATATCCGTTGTACTATGCCTACCTTGCTTGTGCTCGCCACAGTGGGCGTACTACCTGTCGATTTTCTCTTATTATTTTGTTTTGGAGGAGTAGCTTTCGATTTGCGAGCGCTTTTCGGACTGCGTTTTGGTGCCGTTCGCGCCTTTTTAGCAGGCGATGGTGTTTCCACCTGGAAAATAAAAGTTATTGGATGAACTATGTATCACTATTAGCATGAACGGATAATACAAAAGGACTACTAGTCGCGGTACAAAACTGTGGCACCAGATGTCGCGATGAGTACCAAATATGATTTTTGTGACTAATTTTCATAGTTGGTATGGCGTCTGGGGGTCTACTCTCGATCGTCGTCCGACATCCGTCCGAAACAATTACTGCCAAATAAGCAATACTTGACCAAATGAAAAGACGCGTGATGCGAATGAAGCTTTATACTGGATACTTGTGTTTTAATTTTGTCGAATATTACTTATTTGTAATATTAAAAGACGTCGCCGTCGGTTCGAATCCGGCCGGATCGAAGGGTTTTTTTCCGAGTGTTCGATCTTTGTATTAATAATTGTAACAAACCAGTGGAGTAATCACACATAAAAAAATATTGAATATCAATTCATAAAAATTTCAAAAGCTATCATTGACTTACAAATAAATGGACGACGGGTCTAATACAAAAACCACGAAAAAAATGTCCCAAGTCAACCTATTTAAACGTAGTGACATGTAAAGGAATATGAAAAAGCTAAAACGTTGAATTTAAATTGTAATGTCATCGCAGTGCTGTCTAATTTTGCTTGCTTCGCTGTCAGTCGAACAAACGAAGACTAAAGCGTGAATGACGCTCTGTATACGATTTTAACGCCCTATAAGTTCGGACACTTTTTAGCGCGGACACGACGTCCATATAATTGTAAGTCAATGAAAGCTATTCTAATTTTTAGTGATAACAAACAAATCAACTAGATGGCGCTTATTGCACAGATTTTTATTTATACTGTCTGCTATTATATATCTGTCCGTTATGGTGGACAGTTTGTTTACAAGATGATATCCACTCACCGCAGTCTCGCTAACGGCGTCGGGTTTGGCGCGTGGCGACGACTTGAAACTGGAGGTGCGCTTGCGAGATTTCTTCTCCAGCTGAGATTCGTCGGTGTATAGCGATAGGTCCACTGCGCAGGGTTACGTGTTAATGCCATATGTTCATACGAATTGTATACGACAACTAAAGAAACTGACAAATTACATTGTACTTATTAATTATTTCAAAATGAGCAATGACATGGCACCAAGAGGTTTTCCTATGAAGAAGAAAAAGTGTGTTACGTTTGAATTACCTAATGTAAAATCGACTAGCCCAATTGTAGAAATATATGGAGACAAGTTAGACCTTGTTAATAAAGCTGTCTTTTGACCTGACTTTTTGAATGACCTTAGACAGTAAACTCCAATGGTTTCCACATATATCTTCCTTATCCAGCAGACTTAGCTCTGCTGCATACACAGTCCGTAGAAAACGTGAACTTACCGATGTTGCTACTGCCAGTTTACTTTAGTTACTTCCATAGTATAATGTCCTACGGGATTCTCATGTGGGGTAAAGCGGCAGATATACGAACCATATTTGTGTTGCAAAAACGAGCAATTCGTTCTGTGTACCGTTTACGTTCTCGGATTTCTCTCAGAGAAAAGTTTAAGGAGACTGGTATTATGACTGTGGCATCACAGCACATTTACTCAAATATGCCCGTAAAAATATACGTAACTTCGTTAAGAAAGAAGATATCCATAATATTAACTTTGGAACTAAGTCCAAACTCAAGGTACCATGTTTTCGTTTAACCAAGGCAAACAATTCTTTTATAGGGAATTGTATACGTTTTTACAATAAGATTCCGGAGCATATATTAAGTTTACCATTCCCTAAGTTTAAAACTTAAATTACTTGGTATTTGGTGTAACGGGCTGGTGTCCGCAACTCGACAAAACTTAAAAGTATTTTAATTGAAAAGTCATATTACAAAATTGTAGACTACGTGTTAGATAAAGATGTATAGAAAGACAACGTCAGTCTAGACTCCACACAAATATGATTCAAAATGTATTCTATAGCATTTAGGTTTATTTGAAAAGAGCAATCCCTAGAGTTTCTTGCTCGTTCTTCTCAGAGAGGTGAGCGTAGCGAACGAGCAGTAGCTTAAAAAATAAAATTTTACCTATGGAATAAATAATTATCTGACTTTGACTACCTCATGCTGGCTAAGTTATAATTATCACCTTGATAAATATACAAAGACTATTCGTCGGCCCCACCGAATAAACGTGTAAAACTGCAATTTTACACGAGCGATTAAAAAGTCAAAAAATAATGTTACTCAATGGTGATTGGATATACTTAAATACAATGTATGACCAAAATAAAGATAAAAAAAAACATTATATCTTATATTAAAATATGAAACACGAACGTATTTATAATTTATTAAAAATTAATCCCCTATCTAGTTTGATGCTGTCCGAGACCCTTGTTCACTTGTATTTATTGTTTTTGTTTGTGTTACTTTTTCTTTTTTTAAATTTAAGTTGCTGTTTTTAGTTTGCATATAATTTTCATTTTACGGTGTTTTTGCAAGCTATGTTAACTCGTAAGTAGTTCTGTAATTTAGACAAGGTCTTCAGCAAATTGAATTTATAGTATGTTACATTGTAGTAACTGTAAGTGAACCAATAAACTAAAAAAAATCATGAAAAACATTTTTAATCTAGTAAAAATTACATTGGCGGCTGTTCGCTTTACTGTTTACAACTAATATTCGTGGGAAAAGTTGTGTATTTACTTTAAAATGTAACATGTCGAATTACATATACAGTTGGAGTCAGAAACATTAGATGATTCCAACGGTATATATAACTCATTATGACTAAAATGCCAATCTTGATATATATTTGTAGTGTAGTTTATATACATAATTCAGTTTTTTTCAAATGCTGTAGCACCCCCCGGACAGCATCAACAGAGGGCTCTTCAGCGCCCACTGTAGGAAACCATGCTCTAAAGTCAGGATTGCCAGAGGCACCCTAAGAAGCGAGGGAATACTAACGTCCATCGGGGTGTTCCTCGGTGAGCTCGATGTGGTTGGCGCCGCTCTGCTCGGCGCGCAGCGCGCGCTGCAGGATGGAGCTGGCGCGCGCCTGCTCGGCCGCCGTCAGCGTCTGCGCGCCCGAGCCGCCCGCCGCGCGGCTCAGCGACAGCGTGGTCAGAACGCACTCCATGTCTGCACGCACCGTGACGGTTCACGAACTTTGTATTGCCACACGAATAAAGCGACGCAACTCGAAAAAGCAACATTTTTGGGAATTGGAAAATGTGATAACACACCAAAAACAATAGGAAAAAGACACGCTTTCTGTAATAAATTCAAATTATTAGAAAGAAAGAGAAAAACTATCTACAAAGCAGTTCTGAAACCAATTTGGACCTACAGACCAATGTCTTTGTGGAACTGCTTGTCAGTCAAACATTGAAATTCCATTCATTCCAATCATTGAAATGCTCCATGGTTCACTAAAATACATGAGGTCCACGAATATCTTAAAATGCCTACAATTATTGAGGAAATTACTAGGCTAAGTCCTATAAAGAAAGAGCAAAAAGAAAAAAAAAAGAAGAGCAAAATTTATTTCACTTTAGTAATTACTGGTAACCAAATTGTGTTATTAATTTCAATTTCAGCTCTGAATTATCATTGTTACATATATATATCATTGTTACTGGGTGCATGTAACTTTCAAATGTTATAACATGTCTGTTAAGACTTGATGGTACCTCAGTTCGAATTAAAAATTTTCCCGTACTAACACAGTTCATTTAGCTTGGATCAAGCGGCAGAAACACAGGCTTTATTTCAGAATTTATTTTTTTTATAAATGAAAATAAAGCCATTTAAAAAATATTTATCGTATAATATACGTGTTCTATTTAGTTCAGTTTATATTAAAAAAAATCATTGGTATGTGTCATCCAGTATATAACAAGAAATAGAGACGAAATGTCATTTCATTTGTTTGAAAACTATTCTGCCATATAATTACTGTGACAACTACGCTTTATTGGCTAGCCCGAGTTCGAAACAATTTACGGGTGTCGTCAACTGTTTCACTTCAAATCGACTATAGTGCGCGCGGAACTAGCTGGCCGCGCCTTAGGTATGTGAGCGGTGGGACGGGGAGGCGGGGGCACTTGATGTCATTACTCAGAATACTCAGTTCGGCGCCGGACTTCGCGGCGGCAACACACGTTGACAGTTCTGGCTAGTTTAGACAAAACGCACAAGAGATTGCAATGTCAAGATGAGTCCGCCGATAAAAAGACAATCTAAGGAAATAATATTTAAAGTGCATACGTTTTTTAAAAAACGGAAAGCCGATGTCAATAGTTTAGAATATAAAACTGATGCGAATATTCATAAATTAGTGGCAGAAGCAACCGGGATATCAGAACGAAGTGTAAGGAGAGTGATTGCTCAAAGTAAAACATCCTTGCAAAATACAGGGGAAGCAAAATTTAGTTCTCCACGAAGGCCAAAAGAGATAAAAAAGAAAATACAAGTTGATGATTTTGATTTAGGAGTGATAAGAAGAAAAATAAATCAGTTTTATACGGTACAGAAAACAAATCCAAGTCTACGAAAACTAAATGCTGTGTTAAAAGAGGATAATATTTTAGATTGCGGATTAACTTATTTAAGAGAACTTTTGCACAAACTGGGATATTCATTTAAAAAATGTAAATCGAAGAGATCCCTTTTATTAGAGAGACCAAACATTGTTGAATGGCGAGTGAAATATTTGAGGGCCATAAGAAAATTCAGAGAAGACAAACGAAATATATTCTTTTTGGACGAAACTTACGTTAACCAAAGTCATAATGTCCAAAAATGTTGGCAATCTTCGTCGGAGCCTGGTGTTTATGCAGATATAGGCAAAGGAAGGCGTTTAATAATAGTTCACGCTGGTAGTCGGAACGGGTTAGTTGACGATGCTCTGCTAATTTTTAAATCAGATTCAAAAACAGGAGACTATCATGGAGACATGAACTCTACAAATTTTTACAACTGGGTTGATCGAAAGTTAATACCTAAACTTCCACCTAACTCAGTCATAGTTATGGACAATGCAGCTTACCACTGTGTGCAAGTTGAGAAGAAACCGACTATGTCCTGTATGAAAATTAATATGCAGAATTGGTTGCAAACTCATAACGTGCCCTTTTCTCCCACGATGGTCAAAGCTGAACTCTTGGGCTTGATTAATACGACCCAATCAGAAAAAATATACACGATTGATGAACTTCTGAAAGGTGCAGGTCATACTGTTCTAAGACTACCTCCATATCATCCAGATCTCAACCCAATCGAGCTTGTGTGGGCAAATATAAAAAATTGCCTGGCCAGAGATCACATTAATGCTACATTGGACGAGAAAATTACAATACTAACAAGACTATTTTCTGAATTTTCTGCCGAACAATGGCAAAAATGCGACGACCACGTACAAAAAAACGAACAAGAATACTGGAATCATGATATGAGATATGATACTGTGATGGACGAATTCATTATAAACTTACAAGATGATTCTGACTCAAGTTCAGACAATTCAGAATCAAGTGATTCAGAGGATAATATGTCAGAGTAATTTCATATCTATAAATACAAAGTCGTGTTAGTTACACTAATTAATTAATAATAATTTCATAAATGATTCAAATATGTCGGAAGAATTTCATTTAATTTGTTTTTGGTTTATTTTACTTTTAATTGCAATGTACGGACAACAGCAAGTCCATCAATACATAAATGTCAAATTTATCCAATCAATTTTATACTCTATTCCCTGGACTTTAAGTTGAAAATCAATTGAGGAAATCTGACAGTTTGTGGCGGCCTGATGTGCTGCCGACTGTACATTGCAATTAATTAGATAGGTATAATATAAACTTGTAAAAGTTCAATTGGCTTTAATTTTTTCTTTTCAATAACTGAACAATTATTGTTCACGATATCTCGAGATTGGTCGTCACTGTCTAATCTCATGTGCGTTGCGAGCAGCAAGCAACCCGCCCCCTCACCCCTGTCCCTACCTAAGGCGCGGCCAGCTAGTTCCGCGCGCACTATAGTTAACTTGTGCTTTGCTATAATGGACGAAAATTGCAAAATTACACATTTAATTACTGATGAAATTTGATTCCGTTTGTAATTGTAAATGTAATTAGATGTTTTGCTGTTTTTCCCCACACCACCGAATGGAACTGTAGTCTAGGCTCTACTCTATGAGTAGAATCACTGGCTGAGTGAATATAGTTTTGTATTTAGAAAGTTTGAAAAAATTAAATAGAAAGAATAGAACATCTTGAGAGTTCGAGATGTAACCTCAATAAGACAATAAGAGGAAATATGAAAAAAGTGCAATAAAGCAAGTTTTGAAGATTATCCCTGTCTATATTTACAAAAGTACCTCTCGCTACGCAACACGAGCTACGTCCCAGCTTACAGAACAGAACGCCTTTGTTAGAGTGACTATCTTTATTACAATAAATATAGAATATTTTTGGAATATTCGGGGACGCACGCACAGGTCAGTTCCTGGCGCTGTCTATATTTCAGTGCAAACGAGAGTTGATATTTATAAGTGATGTACACTGATGAGTGACCAGGAATGTATAGCCCTTATTTCGTCTCTATTTCTGATTATATACTCGACGGTATATATAAAGTACCTATCGAACACAGCGGTAAGTCGATTTCCTATGGAAAACAACCTGGTGCAACCCGCATGTCGGAGACGGTTTTCAATACTTGGAAACGTGTGAACCGACAGGCATTGGGCCTCTGGCCGCTTTAATGGTGATGGGAATAAAAAAACTGAGATCAACCTGTAGTATCATAGAAGTCCGGCTTATAAGTCTCGCCCGACGGATCGGTCTTGTCCTGAGACAGCCAGCGAATCTTGATCTTGCGAGTAGTGCGGTACACATTTTGCATAGTCTGACACACGTAGAAGCCGCCCTCGGCGTTGCGGACGGCCAAGTACTCGTTCCTGAGAAAAATAAGTTATTTATGACGTGCAATGCGTAATGTAGTATACGACAATTGAGGCTATCAGCACTTAAGTGGTGTAACACACGTAAAATTCACTTTTCTACCATGTTACTTAAAAAAAAAATTAAAAATGTTTGTCTCCTTTTACTCGTGCGGCTTGTGGGTGGACAACACGCAGAGGGCGTACAATGAACTTCGCGTGTAATACAACAACGCGTTCCGGGTGTTGTTGGGTCTGCCGCGGCGGTGTAGTTCGTCCGACGTATTCGCCGAAGCGAGGACTGACGGTTTCGCAGCCGTGATGAGGTGTGCCTCGCCGGAGGCCCGCCTACGCGCCAGCCCCAACCGCATCCTGAACGTGTTTGTGAGCCGTTGGGACCGGCCAACGTTGGCCAGGTGGACGTCATTGCACGTTTCAATATGAATGTTTTAACGTCAATGTTTCTGATTTTATATTTTAATTTTGTCATCCGGATTTTTATTGTATACTAACACTTAGTTCATTAAGAGTCGTATTCCAGAACTGTACTCAGTACTCAAGTTTGAGCAGACTTGAGTATGATTTCAAGCACTGGAAATACGACCCTAATGGCAAGGACTTGAGTATGATTTCGAGTGCTTTAAACCATACTCAAATCCGGACTTGAGCATTGAGTAGAGTTCTAGAAACGACCCTATGATTTTAATTTTGTTTTAGTAACCCTTTCGTATGGACTATCTTTTGAAGTCTGAAATATAGTTATTTGTTATGTAAGGCTGCAAAATTGTTGTTGTTGTACGCGAGTGCTTGTATTGAAACCTGAGCAAGCGAAGGAAGCTAAGATTAAGATTACAAATAGATTCCTGAGCGTAGCGAGAGTTTCAAGGCACGAGACGCATAACCGCTACCGAGCGAAACACACAAGTTTTCACTTCACTATAGCGACGAGAATAGTAGACAAAGAAAAACAATTGAACTATAATTTTTTTTTTTTAAATTTATTAAGGCTTTGGCAAAGCCATCAGCCTAAACATGAAGTTTGTTTCTGTAAATATGGCCGCCACAAAGAGGATAGGCAATTTGAGGCGGCGTGTTTGCATTGACTCGGGATTCCTTAAAACGGGCCGATACGGATATTCTAGTTCGAGATTCATATAATTTCGCGTTTTAATCTTCGATTAAGGCACAATAGCACTATCCTATTCCACTTTAAACTAGATTTCACAAAATAATTGAAAGTCAAAATAAAAACGACACTTTTCCCTCCAAAAGGTCCAGAGCGAATCCATTGAACTATAAATCGTGTAGATTAGTTTTTATTATTATATTGTATGTATGTTTGTTTTAAGGTATATATAATAGGGGTATTTTGTTTTTATATTGTTATGTATGTTAGTCTATAAGGTATGTATACATGGGTCTTTGTTACCTGATATAAATAAATAAATAAAATAAAATAAAAAATAAAACATCATATTTTGAATTAAAAAAAAGTTTCTCTTCGGATGCGTTCTGAATTTACACCTCATCAATTTTTATTCTTGCTTGTACTTTTATTTTGTGTAATTAAGTGATTATTGAAATTATTTTAGTTCTTCAATGAATTAAAATAATTTAATAAACAAAATTAGTTATCATTGTCAATTTAATGTCAACAATAATAACAATGATATATACCAACGGATTAGATTATATAAATAAGTAATGTACAACAAGTCGCTTATTTGAACGTGTCACTATTATTTTCTTCAGTCCATCGTCAAGTTCGAATTTTAAAAATCTTTTACGCGCAGATTTTTAAGGAGAAAGAAGGCCTTTTCGGGCTAGTGAGGTGAAAAAGTCATTGTATCGATGCAGTCGCGTGCTTGCATCGCGTTTGCATCGCTGCTAAAAGTCGCCGTCTGTAACCGCTCTTAGACCCGTATTAATAAATCCAATTCAAGTGCAGGATTGATATTAAAATTTACCTTAAGTCGATTAAATTTATCTTTATTAATAAATATGATTTGAATGCACATCAACGATTACTCATTGATTATGTCATAGTCATTCAAAACTTAGTTGCGGCTCAAGGTCATTATTAAATCTAATCAATCAAGTGCAGAATCTTGGTCACTTGAGACATATAGGTTTATAGTGAAATTAATATTATGTAGATGGACTTGAAATTATATTAAATACTGCTGCATTTAGAGGGAGTTTCCGATACTTAGCGACTCGTTGTTGGAACAATATGCCTCCTCCTATCCGTAACAACGACACAAAAACACATGAAAAGAAATAATAAAAACAAACAATACAAATAAATTATTGGAAAAAGGTGAGAACATTTTTAATACAGTTCAATACATGAGAGTAATTAGAAATACGTGAATAATAACTAATATAATGTAAAATATGTAAAAACAGAAACAACAGAAACTACAAACATCGGACATTTTTCTTTCATCGTTATCGCAGCGAAGATGAAAGGACAAAGACCGCTGTACGCAACTTCCTATCTTTGTCCTTGCTCTTCAAAATGTACGACAATGTCGACAATAGTTAATTACATAAATAAATAAGCAAACTTAGCTTTATCAACTGAAATAAATATTGTCACGGGGACGTTTACCACATATATACAGCCATGCTACGGCCATGAGCTTTTGATTAATACGAACTTTATGTCCACTGGCACTAAACTAAGTACGTCTTAAACCAACGCTTGCAATGCAAAAGACACAATACAATTGCAGACATATGGGACTTATGTCTCAAGGTGATGGGCGCAGTGGCGGTGCCCCTCAGATCTTTGCGATTAAAGCTCTGAGTGGCACTACAACTATAATGGACAGGCGTGTAGCTTACCATCAGGCGCACGATTTGTACGTCCCTTCACATGAATTTATAAAAAAAAAAAATTGTAAAAAAAAAAAAGAAAAAAAAAGAATTGAACGTGGGTTACACCACTACTGCGCGCTGATAGCCACAAATGTACGTGATACTAAAGTAAAAATAGGAATTTGTTTAAAATTCTTTCAGGCAGCCTGTGATCCAGATTGTAAATTGCTCTAAGAGGAAGTTTCTGCAGAACAAAGATTCTATTAAAGTCGACGAAGCAAATTACCGTATGTCGTCAGACTATCGAAGTAACTAAAAGAAATTAAGTGTTTATCTTCTTACCTCACTTATCTGTGGGCAACATTGAAAAAAGTTATACCTAAATTTACAAATATAAGGTTCAAATTTTCCATTTCAAAAAATGATAGTTATGACGGTCTGTCCAATATTATAGTATGAATCATAATTAGATGTCCAAAACATAAACAAATGTGATGACCGAGCAAAAAATACATTTTAAATGGTAGTCTCCTAATTTTGATGATAGTCGATGATTAGAACTCTTTTCAACCTGTAATCTGGTTAAACTTAGAACATTTTTTATTTTACAATACTAATTTCTGCTTAATTTCGTTTAATACAATAATTATAATAAATTACTGTGGTTAAGATAATAAACAATTTTACGACTCTGGTAACACAATAGGGATCAAAAACATTTTTTGTGCCACAATTTCGTCGTGTCATAGTTGTCATTCGTGCTTCGTTAATCGAACTAGAATGTTGTTTTGTCTCTGTAGAGCGCTTTTTAATTGTTGCGTGCAGTTGTTTAAACTTTTGTTTATTGTCCTATTTTGCAATAGATAATTAAAATTGTAGAAAATGAGAATCTCCTCCTTTTCCAATACCGTTAAATGTAGAAGGTTTAGCACACCTGCATTCACACTTTGACAATGACATGTGTTTGTTTACATTTTGGACATCTAATTATAAGTTGAACAGGTGATGTAAATTTTACAGAATACGTACGCCGTCTATTTCGATTTTAGTGAAGAAGTTGGGGTGGACGAAAGGAAACTCCCAGCACGAGACGTACCATTCTGCCCTCATTGTCATAACTAACGCATTTGTATTTTGGTAACTTTCGAGATATTGGCACCTACTTTTTTTTCTTTGACAAATGTCAATTACGCTTATTTTGCTCAACAATAAAACTGAAACCAAATAGATATTAAAAAAACCGCTTAAAGGTGGTTGTAGTTCTCGTTACGCTGATATCAGATATGTTGGTAACTCAATTTTTGCTAAACACGTCGGTCGATTAAGTTAGTTATGATAAGGAGGACAGCATTTCTATCTTGTGCGTCTGACCAGTGGCGAGGCGAATAATTCTCGATTTTCACCGGCTTGCCTAAAATTTTCCACTACATTTTGTGCTAAATTTTATGTGTAAAATAAATTAACCAGTGAAATGGAGTATACTATTATACTTAATATCACTTTATTATACTTTTTCTTAAGGGAAGTTTTTGTTTTGGTCCAGCTTTATTAACGAGAATATTCACGCCTCGCCACTGCGTCTGACGCGCCCTGGACAACAATCGGCGAGTCCATTACCTTATGGCAAACGTTATAGTGTATGCCATCGATACAATAAGAAGAAGGCGAAGCTATGGACGTATATGATAATTAGAATACAATACAAAATGCTTAATTTCTCTCGGAAAGATCTAAGTAGTTACATATGAGATAAAAAGTGCCTTGGTGAGTGCTGGAGTCTGTACTAGGTTGGGGACTTGTGTTACAGATCACCAGGCTCACTCCCTCTAGGCGTAAAGAACGTAACGTCATTTAAAAAATACAATCATATTACAAAATAACGTGTAGCATAACAAGAAACAACGTGTGTGTGTGTGTGTGTGTGTGTGCGTGTGCGTGTGTGTGTGTTTGTTTTGAGAGTGCGTGATTATGTGATTAAAACCTAACCCGGTACGGTAAGCAGTAATTAAAGACTTACTTGTAAAAGACAATGAGTTTATCGTCGTTTGGCTTGGTCGGCGTGGAGCGGCCGGCCGAGGCGGAGAGCTTGGTCGCCATCGCCAGCTCCGGAGTCGGCGACTGGTACAATTGCACCTATAGGAGCAAAAAGGTGGTTAAACTTTAAACTTTAATGCGTTCACTTTACAAATACATAAAAAATTATAAATTAAACATAATTTTGCGAAATATTTAGTAACAATAACGTCGACTTTTTACATTTTTTATAATATAATTTGTGCGCTTTTAACCTCGTGGACGGTGACGATGAGGTCGACGATGGAGCAAAACACCTAAATAATACTTGCCTCGAAAAGCCCAAGTAATACCGTTCAGGGAATATATCTGCAGGCAAGGAATTCCACTCCATAGCAGTTCGCCTTATAAATACACAACCCAGGGATTGAAGCCTCATGTTTAGAATCCCGATGATGGAAAAGTTAAGGCGGAATTAAACTGCTATTCCCTCGCAAACTCTCCGTGACATATCCTGTAGCATACCAGGCAACTTTAGTAGCAATAAAGTCGACTTTTGAAAAGTCTGCAAGTTTAAAATTAATAGAAGGAATAGAAGCTTAATTTCGTAACCTGCACACATGTTAAACTGGCATACACATACAAGCACTGTACGTGACACGTAATGTAATGTAATTCAACTTTGGCGACGTTGATGACGTCACGAGCATCGTCACTGCGTACCTGCGAACTTCATGGCACCTAAACTTTCATTACACAAGCTGCCAACAAATCGAAAGCTGTCGATAGAGTTACACTATTTGGAGAGGATGTGGGTTATATTTTTCTGTATCCAAAAGCAATACACACTTTTGACGTAATTTCACTTATTGTACTCTTCCATGAGTGGGATATGTCGAAGTAGCGACTATTAAACAGGAGGTACAGACAAATGAGCTCAAGTATAATAAGTCAAGATTGCGACTGTACATAAATGAGATATAGATCCTTGGTTGAAGATGAGCAACTGATTGGCTATAGCTGCTTTTTTATACATGATACCTAAAGTTGAATGAGGGATCTAATCGCGAAGGACCTTAGTGCAGTGTTGATGATACAATCACAATTAGGTACCTCTACTATGCCTGCCTTCAAGTTGCCTTATATCATCAGGGAATAGTGCACTGGAAGAGTAGTTCTATTTGTTGACTGTGCAACAGAGAATGATGTCACAAAACCTTGTAATACGTGATGGAATACTACAAGTTGCGAAAGCTGCTGGAAGTGGTCAAGAATACTGGATTAGCAGAACACAATCAACTGAGTACTGACTGAGGAAGAGAAACACAGGATTCTCTATTAAAAAAACTACTTCAAAACTATTGCAAAATTTGTTCAAGAATCAATAGCAAATATGATACTACCACAAACACAAAATAAATTTAGTGAATAATGATTTTGTAAAATTACTTGTTGTATTTCTGAATAGGTTATTTATTAATATTAAATTATTTGGCAGTTTTAATTTATATAATACAAAAAGTAAAACATTCTTCACTTTACATTTTCCAAATTTCATCAAGAATTGTCACTGATTAAGACAAGAGACAAATTAACTAAATTGAGTGATCCCATTACCACCAGGTGATGTAAGAAACTAGATATGGAAAATTAGCCAATTGCACAAACTGATAACATATGGTGCTCATATATTATCAGTTTGTGTGTTCAGATCAAAATTGAAGTTGATTTTAGGATATGACAAGTATTTTTAATATACGATATGGCAGGAATAAAAGTAACTGCAAGATATGTAACTAGGATTGTACAAAATTTTAGTGAAAATTATACAAATTTTACCAACCTGAATCCTGTTTCTCTTAGTCCTGGAGTCAGGAGTGGAGTCACCTTCCGCAAATTTCTTTGCCGGACTGGGGCCCTCATTGGCTTTTGGAGAAGCCTGTCTCCTCTTCCTTATGGGTGGAGTAACAGTGGCCAACTTCAAAGTGGATCTAACAGGAGTCTTAGTTTCCTTAACTGCAGCCTTGGTTTCCAATTTCTTTTCCTCTGGTTTCTCATCTGGTTTTGGTTTCTCAGCAACCTCTTCTTTCTTAGCCGGTTCACTTGGAATCTCTTCCTTTTTCTCTGGTTTGACTTCTTCTTTTTTCTCGTCTGTGACACTTGGTGCTGGTGCTGGTGCTGAAACAGTAGGTTCTTCTTTTTTCTCCTCTGGCTTGGCAGGGCTCTCTGTTTTGGCACTCTCAGCCACAGCAGCCTCCACCTTCTGAGGAGTAGGTGCCTTCTCAGGTTCTTTCTTATCTTCCTTTAATTGACAGTCATTAGCAGCTTCAGGTGCAGGCTTGCTGTCACTCTGTGTTGGTGCAACATCAGCAGTAGGAGCAGGTTTTGGCTCACTAGGCTTAGATGGAGACTTCTCTGGTGCCTCATTGGCAGTAGCTACTTTAGGTTGACTTGGTCCATCAGTTGAACTAGCTGGAATTGCCACGTCAGGTTTTTGTGGAGTACTTGGTGCACTGACTGGCTTTTCAGGAGGCTTTGGAGTACTTGGTGATGTTTTAGCAATATCTTGCTTCTCTTTATTAGGTTCTGGGTTCTGAGGCTTCAGTGCAGCAGGGGCATTGGAAGCTGTTTTAGGCAACTCTACAGTGCCATTTGAGTGTCCAGCTGAATCAGGTTCCTTCTTTTCTGGGGTCCGTGTAAGAGCTAGGGGTTGTGGCTTGTCCTGCACCAGGCTGAGTGGAGCACTAGTGCTAGCACTCTTATTTGGGCTGGCTGCCATGTTTGTAGGTGTTACGGAGTTCTGGGAGACATGTGAAAGGTTGCCATGGTGACTCATGTTCTGTGCCATCTGAGCCATGTTGGCGGAGACTGGCGCCATAGAGGGCGCGGGGTGCGGAGGGAGTTGTGGCGCGGCCGGTGCGTGGTGCGTCAAGTTCTGCCCGACGAGGTTGTTAGTTCCGTGATGCAATGAGTTCTGTGCGCCCTGAGGAAGCCCGACACTGTGATTGGCGTTTGCCACGTTCCCTTTAGCGGGGCTAGACTGGCCTCCTGGCTGCGGTACCCCAGGTTGGGGCAGTACAGTCTTTAGAGCTGAATTCATATCAGACAAAACTTAGCAATTATCTCCGGTGCTCGAACTGCAATACAAAGATATTACGATTAATGATACGACAGTGTTGATGTAGCAGGTTAACAAACCGCGGTGTCTTTGACCCACAACAATAATTCACATACACAACTTGTATAGTACGCGCGTAAGAACGCGGCGGGCGGCGGAGGCCGCTTCGCCACTTTCTAGGATGAAAGGTACGCATGGGGAGATAAGAATGAAAGTTACCACTAGAGTAATCGATGAATACTGTCCATTAAATAAGTTCGTACGGTGACCGCGGCGGTGGTAGCCGCAAAAAATATGCGTTGCTACAGCTATGAAACTTCCGCAAGATTATGACCCGCCGACAACGGGGGCCTCGCGATGGCGTTCTCCCACGTGAATGCTTTTTACAAATCACTTAAAAACACTCGCGGCACAGAGATTCCATGGTTAAATCACAGTTTTTACCACAAATTAGCATTCAATTTACTCAAGAACAAGAACATAATAGGTACAGTATTCAGAGATGGCGTCGGCACAACGCGCATGCGCCACCCTCTACTTCTCTCTCCTCCAATGACAAACGATAACGAAACGACGTTCAAACGAATTTTTCCGATAATTTCGTATCTCTTTCTGTAATAGTCTCAAGATGTATTGCTATCTCACCTGCCCCGTATAAAACAGGATGCGTTCTGTAAATTATATTAATTTTAATTATTATCCATGACAGTACCTACAAACTTAGTTATTAGTAGTACTAAAAAATGACTAATTCTATTTAGGATTACTTAAATTAGCATCGATACTTTATTTTTTTACAGCAGAGTACTGGTGCAAATAAATTAAAAATTAATAATTAATTACGGTCTACCTACACTTTGTTTGGTTTCATATGAATCCTATAATACTTTATGAACAGTTAAACATATCTTTGTAACAGTTTAGTTTTACTTTTTTAATGAAGTTTAATCGAAATAAAATATTGTTGTTTCAACTTAAAAAAAACTGTTTTTTTTTTGCGCTGAATCCTAGCTGCCAAATTATCAATAAAATAAAAAAAACCACAGAGTAAAAAACATAACCTTTGCGAATTTTAATACTGTGTTTATTAGTCGTAAACGAGGTTAAAAAAATTACTTTTGAACCTAACGTGTGGGTTTTTACTTTATTGGCAATATGGTAAGGGTAACTTCACTATCTCTATTGTTCTTTGCTATTTGTATACACCATGTATCAACTGTTTGATTTATGCCAATAATTCAATAACTATAAATGTAATTAGAGCAATAAAACTATGTACAAAAAGAGCGATCAATAGTGTAAAGTAAGGAAAGCCTTGTAGTAAAAGTTATATTTCAACTAAGTAAACTTTAGGTTGTGTCTCACGATACTTTGTGTTTCAGGATGTATTATCAAGACCAGCTGAGGAGTTCGGCAATGATGAAACCCTGGAACACTTGTGGGCAGCTAAGGCGATGGAACATAGTGATATTTATTTCAATGTTAGTTTTCTTTTGTTTATAAATTTTGGTGGAAATTATTCTCATTCACATCTTATTAAATGAAACAATACCTGTAATATCGCAACCTACATTGGCTGAAGTGAAGAAATTCAGCATTATCAGTAGACAACATTGTAATCTTTATCAACTTCTAATGTACAACTCAGTCTTAAAATCCATTTGGACATACGGTATTCAACTGTGGGGTGTGGCTAGCAACAGTATACTTTGTCTCCAACTAATGCAGAATTGTATCCTGAATAGTCTGTGCCCCTTGGTTCACTCGCAATGAAGAGATACATGACCATCTAAATGTGTTATCAGTAACAGCTGAGATAGACCGACATTAAATTAAGCACAAAGAACGTCTATCTATCCTGCCACCTGAACCCACTCATTGCGGAACTTCTAGATCCATCAACTATGGTCAAACGGCTTAAGCGAGGCCATGTTCTATAGATGGGAGGTGCAGCACTGGCCGCCCCACTAACATCGTCTTATCTCATGCAAAAGATTTATAGGAAATAAAATAATATAAAAAAAACTTAGTTTTTTGATGTATGAGTTAATTTTCATTTGATATGTGAAGTAATAAAAGGCCGTAAAAACCAAACTGTGAAGTTCACAAGATGGGTAAAAGAGTAATTTTTTTGGTAACTTAACAAAACATTGAATAGACAGATTGAACAAACATGACATTTTAAACCGACTTCATCAATGGCTAATGTTTGATTAAAATGGCTTTTATGGATTTTCTTCCTCCACTTAATTATAAGTAACTGTAGTATATTTAGTATGTAACTTTACCACCTTCCCTTTTTACTTTCAGGTTTTATGCTCTGTAGACACACAGTGGCTAAGACTGACACCCCATGACGACATCATCTACACGCATTTTAGACAAGATTTCCCAGATCTAGATGTTTCGTATATCAAAGAAAACGAAATAAAGAACAATACAAATAAAGCTAAATGGAGAATATTCTGCGAAAAATTTAAAAACATTGTTGAAGATTATAGTTTTGGTACTTTATTAAGAGCAGACACAAAAGGAGACTATTCTGAAGCAAACACCATTCTTGTTCCAAGAGTACAATTCTATGCCATAGAGATAGCCAGAAACAGAGAAAAACTAAACAATGAAGTTAAGAAACACTATAAATGTGCCTCAAAAGCTAATATGGTCCGAGATCACCAAAGCTGAAATTGCTACATAGATTGTAACTTTCAACTTTACGCCATTTATGATTTGGCAACTAAACAGATGTTATTCCTGTTGATTAAAGACAAACTAATGCCCTCCATTCTCAACACCTCATAACAAGAGCCTAAATTACATAAGCCTAAGCTTAAAACATAGTTTAAAAACAAAAATATACTAGTAATTCGTTAGAATTGGCAACACTTGCTATCTATGTGATCTAAATGACCTAGCATTATTTTTAGATTTAGAATATTTTCTAATATAAACAAAATTCCCTTTGAAAATGGAACTACTTGTTTGTAACTTTTCATATAGCCTGTACATATATTATGTTTAATAGCTCTGATGGTCATGAGTGCAAGAATCTACATCTACAATGTAATCTCAATACCTACCAGCATATTACTTTATGTGGATAAAACATATTTTCATATGTTTGTATCAGAAACGTAAAGAATGAATGAGGTGCTCAATTAACATGCTCATGTCATTTTTATAATAAATATTTTGTATCATCCTAAACAGTTTTTAATTTCAAAATAACCCTGTATTTAATTGCATTAATTTTCTCTTTATAGGACCCCCACTAGTACGAATTGTTGTAAGGAAGAAAACCCATATACCATTCGACTGCTATGTGGGTGGTGACATCTATGTCGCATCCATACATTTCGTAAATCTTCGTAACTCAACGGTTTGCACTGTAGACGCTGGATGCGGAGGTCCTGGGTTCGATTTCCGTTAGCACCAATTTGAGAAATGAATTTTTCTAAATTGATTGTGGACTGGGTGTTTCGAGAAGAATGAATGAATTCTTTTTTTTTTATCTATGTATTTTGAAAAGATCTGAACACATTCAGGCGTTCATGTCGGCCTCGTGATGTAAGTATCTATCTACTTATCCTGCCTTATCTGAGAGGTAATGCTTCTTATCAGAAAGCAAGACGTCACATAGGATCAGCACTCTGCGTCAATGGGTTACTCAGTCTAAAAATTTAGCTCTCCTACCTGACCAATGTTTTTTAATTGATATTGGGCTCCGCAGCCCGCATTACGGTCACATTCAGTCAAGTACAGGGAATTCTCTAGTTCGAGACCAGGTAATTGGTGCGATTGTCTAACACATTATTATTATTCAACCCATCCCATGATAGCTATAAGATCTCTACCTTGCCTTTTCAAAATGAAACAAGCAGGAGTAACTTGCTTGTGCTTTGTAATGACTAAATAAACTCGTCTCTTGTATTGAGGTTGGAAGTTGCCTTTTTACATACTAATAATTCTAATTTTTTATAAAAAAACCAAACCTCGAAAGTTCGTGGAATCACATCTATTTGTCAAGTTTTATCGAAATCGATTACCGGGAATTGCGCGAAACCGGATTCACTCCCTAGTTGGCCACCCTTTGAGGTGGATTATTTTTTTCAAATTTAAATAGGACCAATATCGAGATACCCTGTTTCCAACAAAAGAACCATGAAAATTAGTGCACAAAATACAATACATACAAGGGAATTGAGAACCTCCTCCTTTCCCCAAAGTGGTTAAAAGTAACTTTTTCAACATTCAATCTTAGAGCTAGCACAACAAAGTGCTATTCATATAGAGAATAACAATATCGGTCTCGCGCCCTATCGCGCTAGCCTCACTGGGGTGGATGGCTGCAAAGCCTACAACGTACACACCCCTCATGGAATAATGGCATAAGTCGAGTTAATAAAAATATTTATTGCTGCATTAGATTACAGAAAAATATAACCCACATTCACTCCAATTCTTGTAAGTCTTATCGACAATATTAGTTATTAGAGTTACAAGAATTGGAGGGGATGTAGGATATGTTTCTGTATCTAATGGAGCAATAAAAATTTTTGACATAACACCACTTATGCCATTCTTTCATGAGGGATGCAGTATACAAGTAGCTGCAGTGAAAGTTCTTTGCAGTAAGTCTCATCTTGTTAAGTGTCAGTTAAAGAGAAACTAAACTTATTATATAATATCTACAACCCTAGAAAAAAACAAGAAAATTGCATTTTAAATTTTTTATTAGTCTTAAAACCTAGATGTTTACGAGGCTTCCATTGCTGTGGCGGTCTCTTCAGTGTATTTGCCTTTGTCCTTGCCCAGGGCTGCTAGTCTGCCCTTCGCTCTGCGGTCAAGGATGGCTTTACGGTCCTTGTTCATCTTTAATTTTACAATCACACACTGAAAGAAAAAAAAAAGTGACAAAGCTTGTTATAACATATAAAATATATATTGGATGAAAAAGATCATCAGAGCCATGGAAGTGTATCTGCATTAGCAGTGTCCCTGTATACCTTGTCCATCAGTCGTAAACATCAGGTATGGGTATACATGAGAACAGAGTTCAGGGTTTATAGTTCTCATCATTTCAAAGTTTACACATACAAAGTCCGATACATAAACAAGTTGTGGTTTTTATAACCAATAACAATAAAAAGTTGAGGAGCACCAGAACAAAAATGAATGAATCTGACAAATTTCTACTAGATTCTACTTTCATGTATAAATCTGTGCATAGAAACATATTGTCGGTGATAGTATCAGTAAAATGCGCGTATCTGCACCAAACCAACTTTCACAGGTGAGGGTTTTAACATATATACTTTGTTATTAACACAGTAAGCATAAATTTTATGTTGTTTACAGACTGATGACAACAGATTCCCGTAAACCACGCTACTTTGGTTGTCACACCATTTACGCAGATATGATTTGGCCACAAAACAACGATCCTCTGTTGTTTTGTTTATAGCTGTGTCTGTGCTTGTGTAATAAACGATTTTCTTTCTTTCACTATCTTCAATAATATTTTGAATTTATCAGTTGCTGTTCTAGTTGAATAAATTATTCACAGAAATTTTCAAAAAGTAGATTAATAATGAAGAACAAGTAAAAATGTGACTTATCAGTATTAGTTCCATTGGTACTCATTTACAAAATAGTAATCCTTATTCTGTTTAGTTCAACGTGACATCTAGTGTAGTTACTAAATGAATAAAATATGTTTACTTCTCAAAATGTTTGAATTATTGAAGTAAAAGTATATAACAAACCTTTGAAGGGTGGATACCCACGTATGCACTGGCACCATTAGCCTTCTCGCGCTGGATCCTCTCAATATAGACAACAAACTTCTTACGGTACACTTGAACTACTTTACCGACTTGCTGGCCTTTGTAGTGTCCTCTAACAACCTATAGAATAAAAAAAATTATTAGAACTTCTATACAATTTTAGGAAGATTCTAAAAAGGTTTTATAAGCATCAGAGCCAATTTTTGAACCATAGCATAGACTCACAAACCACAGCTTGGTTTCACTGAAGAAAACCTTCAGATCTTCCTTACTGTGGTAGCAATCGTCCATGGTCTGTGAATGGTTTGATATCATCATATAAAGTAACTATTAGCAAATAATATCCAGGAGCTTGTTTGTTTCTAAACCGTTAATACATCAGTTTTTAGGTTACATGAAATAAATAACTGGTTTAATTCCAATATTTAGCTACACTATGTACTCTTTGACTAGATTTTAGTGGTAAATTAAACAGAATATCATAGTGTGTTCGACAAAAGATGACATTACCACTAACCTCTATGTTTGTCGTGCGTACGTAAATTATGAATGAACATTAAAAAGAAATTGGAGGGAAAGCCAGGACAAAGTCACATTTACCTGAACTTCGTCGTCTTTGCGGATAGGCATAGATTTCACATTGAACTTCTGCCTAAGTTCCTTTGACAGAGGAGCGGACATCAACACTCGTCTAATGTGGGAAGGAGCGCTGAAATGGCGCTTCCTGTTTTTCCTCCTCGACGAGGTCACCTGCTTATTGTACTTCATTCTGGCGCTCTTCGCTGAAAACCGAAACACCACGTTTATTTCCCTGCTATAATGTTTAGGTTACGGACTCCTGCGTGCTAAATGTCAAATTGCCGCGACTTGTTTTAAGGTCACGAATAAATGTAATACTGAAAATATCCATTGTGCGGGATAAAGGATATCCCTAAAAATTATGTCTTATTAATTTTATCGCGATTTATCGAGATTACAACAAGATTTCTATGGATTTTTCAACGTACCCTAAACAACACGGCAAAGAACCGAAATAAAAGAAATGTCTGATATGTGTTGCCATTTCAGAAACTGTAACAATTGCTAATGATGGAAATAAGAGCAAAAATTGTATAACTAACAGAGAATACAACTTACAAAAGATAATTTAATGCATCTATTTCGATTGTCTATTACTTACTGAAATCTTCATGTATGTCTTGCTTCACGACAAATAATTCTACAACTAACTCCTTAGAATGCTTTAGAATGTTAGTAAATGGCAACAATGAAAGCATTATGTCAATTATTGTTCCATTATACGAAGTTATGATTTTGCTGTTCTTGCAAAGTTAATGGTAGGTTTTTCCGTACGAAAAATAATGTTTTGATACGATGTTAAATATAATTTCCTTACACAATTTCATAACCACACATCAAACAATACTAAGGGTCGCATTTCAGAACTCTACTCAATGCTCAAGTCAAGACTTGAATATGATTTTAAGCACTAGAAATCAAATTCAATTCTCAAGTCAGGACTTGAGTATGATTTCAAGCACTAGAAATCGTACTCAAGTCCTTGCCATTAGGGTCGTATTTCCAGTGCTTGAAATCATACTCAAGTCCTGACTTGAGCATTCAATAGCGTTCTGGAATACGACCCTAAAAGAATAACTCCGAAAATACAAAAAATATTTAAAAAGTTTTGTTCAAAAACATTATAATATAAAAGTAAACGGCATTTGGATTTTTTTAATACTTAAATTAATTTTTTTTAAACTTTTTTGTCTAAGAGATCATTGCATAAAACTAATAGAATATGGCGCATTCGTGACAGTGTTTTAATGTTTAGAGTAAGTAAAACATTATGTAGAGTATTTTACAATTTATTTATACTTTTAAATGTACGATACTCAGATTTTATTGATTTTCCTCACAATTGCTTTGTAGGGTTGTTAGTAGGTACGTACATACTTGGACAATATAAAATTTAAAATGAGTATGTTCGTATTGTATGAACGGTTGTCAATATTTCGACTGCAGCAACGTACAGTATCGAAAGTACAAAATGCATACTTTACAGTAGACCAGTTTGAAGTTATATTTTGACTTAGAATAATAAGTTTTAATAGTGTCGTGAAAGTGACACCCAATTATGATAGCTAATTTTACGTGTTTTTGTAGATATTTCACATTCAATAGTTAACGTTGTTAGAATTGGCTAGAAATTAATCGAAAGTGGCAGATTCGTTAGTATTCAGGGCTTGCAAAATTTGAACAAATATTGAATCTTCCAGTTTCGGTACTTTTCATTGACAACTTTTATAAAATCAATAAAAGTTGAACACTTTCGATTATTGATTAACCAAGTAAAGAAAGAAAGAAAGAAAGACCAAGTAATCGAAGGTTTGAAAGAGAAGAGGATACCAAAACCAAACACTGATTTTATAATTTACTAATGTACATTTATTAATTGTCACTTATTGTATGGAATTCATTACGAGTAAAAAAATAAATCAACTTTTAACTGTTGTACTGTAGCATGAGTTCTTTGAGTCTTTTTACGTAAATTTTTTTTTTAGTTTGTAATAAAAAAATCGAAAAAAATAAGTAACATGACAAGTTTCAGTCTTGTTATTTTTTTATATACCTATAATATCAAGTGACGGGACGAACAAGTTGTGCGCCTGATGGTAAACTACACGCCTAAACAGTTGCAGTGCCACTCAGAGCTTTAAATCGCAAAGATCTGAGGGCCACTGCTACTGGGCCTGTCACCCTTAGACATAGTTCGACAAGTCCCACGTGCCTGTAATTTCACCAGAACCCTTACCCTTCAAAATCGGAATGCAATAATGCTCACATTGCTACTTGGCGGCACAAATAGTAAAGGTAACTCTTTCACAAGATGCTCTACTGCTGCTAATTGTTACTTACTTGTTACTGAAACAATAAGGTGTTAATCGAGTTCCTTGGTTTTCGCGATTGTTACACTTGGGAAATGAAACTAAGTTTTTTTTTTTCGGATCTAAATCGTCTGTATTTGTTTTTTCAAACAAACCAACGTTTCGGGCCCTTTACATGTCCCATAGTCACGACTGACGTCAGGTTCCGGACCTGTAAAGGGCCCGAAACGTTGGTTTGTTTGAAAAAATAAATATACGCGATTTAGATACGATAAAAAAAAGTTTAATTTCCTAATACGATATTTATTACATAAAATTACTTTGCCAAGAATCTTTTACATTAGGAAAACTATATAAGTATCACAAAAACCCGTGTATGAACACGAAATCTTTGTGTGATGTCGATATTATAATTATTACTGGCATACATGTAAAGGCTGTATATCACTATTGCGATTTAGCCCAGTGCAGTTGTCGGACCAAAATTCAATGTCCACTGCATCATTAGTTATATTTTATTCAACAAAATCTAATGAACAGCTACCGGTTGGTAGTTTGCGTCGTTTGCTTCAAGTTTGCCAATATTGTGTGGTCCTCTAACCCAACGACGTGCTTTTAAAATAAAAGAGACACTTCACCGGAAAGGCAGTTGAGAAAATTTTGGAATTGTGATGCGTATACTATTTTTGATGCAGTTTTAATTGCCATCATGTAAATCTTTCATAACTCGTGCTTTAGATTTTCGTGCGGTTTCCTTATTTGAAATGTGCTTGTCATAAGTCAACACCTGCTCTTCAGTAGGGCTTCTTTTTTTTTAATTTATTAAGGCTTTGGCAAAGCCATCAGCCTAAACATGAAGTTTAATTATGTTTCTGTAAATATGGCCGCCACAAAGAGGATAGGCAATTTGAGGCGGCGTGCTTGGATTGACTCGGGATTCCTTAAAACGGGCCGGTACGGGTATTCTAGTTCGAGATTCGTATAATTTCGCGTTTTAATCTTCGATTAAGGCACTATCCTATTCCACTTTAAACTAGATTTCACAAAATAATTAAAAGTCAAAATAAAAACGACACTTTTCCCTCCAAAAGGTCCAGAGCGAATCCTCTCAGGCAAAGGTTCAGACCATAGAGTAATGAGGTTGGGGACTTCCCACGTTTTCTGAGTTTTGTGAACCTTCTTCGACGTGCAGGTTTCATTACGATGTTTTTCCTTAAACCGGAATGCTTATGGTAAATTCCGAATGAAATTTCGCACATAAATTCTGAAAAACTCAGAGATGCGAGTCCGGATAGAACCCACGGCCTCTGCTTGAGACGTCGTAGGTCAAACTATATACAATAGGCTACTAAACGCTGTGAAATCACATATCAGACCATCACATATATTGTCACCCTCTGTAGACCACGCGGAAAAGATATCATCGTAAATATTATTTAGTAATTTGAATTTTTTTTCTGCATTATTGTTGTCACGCACAGGAGATTCTAAGAAAAAACATATTTTGTAGTAACATGCTTTAATTATGAAATCAGAGTAAAGTAGTGGACATTTATTTTTTCAAACAAACAAAGGTTTTTTCAAACAAATAAAGGTTCTTTGCAGGTCCCATGTTGACGGCTGACTGAGATGGTAAAAATGATAAATAAATTCAATCCATGTTACCGAATGTCGTTCTTTTACGTTATTACGTAATAATGGCTCTACATAGGTACTCCAGTGACACTTACGTCGCATTTTAAAAAGGATAAAATACAACTTACGATGCACTAGTCTTAACTGTTTGTAACGACGGGAGCAGAGACATTCAGATTTTTGCGATTTAAAGCTCTGAGTAGCACTGCAACTCTGGACAGGCGTGTCGCTTACCACCAGGCGCACGACTTAATCATAAAGTATCATAGAAAAAATGAAAATTAATTTTTATATTGATTTTTATGAGAAGTAAAAAAAAGGAATGAAGTAAGTAGTATGTTGGGTAATTTTCCGAAAAATTTGAAATAGTGGAATTTTTTTCGGAAAACTCCCGAAAAATTTGAAAAATATCATTTGGAAGGCTATCTTTTGAAGTTTTATTTAGCGTGAATTATACAATAAACTTACATAGCTTTATGTCACACAGAGAAAAATGAGATTTAAAATGTTTAGAGAGTGTATGAGAAAAAACCTCCAATAACCACTTTTGACAGGTGTCCACGGCAAATGTGGTAAATTAAAGGAAAAATATCCGGAAAAATATTAGTTCTTAAATGGAAATTGTTCCATAATCCAACACTATAGGTACCTACCATACCTACCTATGTATGCTTATAAGTCCAACAAATCTTGATTCAATTGCGCTAGCAAGGACAGTGGCGTCTATTACAGAATACGTTAGTTGAAATTTCATAATAATTTACTCAACAAGAATTTGCTAACATGGACATTTGTAGACCTCGTCATCATTTGCCGAAAGACGCGCAAAAATCGCTTTTGCGTTGTTCGCGTTCAGAATATTCTCACAACCCTTACAAGTTCGTCTCGGTCCATCTTCTGGATGGTCTGTCCACGCTACGTGTTATAAAGTATATACTGGGCAATTCCAATACGAAACGCACAAAATCACTGTTTTTGTTTGTTAAATAGACTCTCCAGTGGCGACGTCCGGATTAGTATAGGATGCTGTATGTAATTGTATAAAAGTTCTTATGTATAATCTTAATATAGAGTACTAAAAAAACCGACCTTAAAGATTCGTGGAATTACATTTGCCAAGTTTTATTGAAATCGGTTACCGGATAGCGCGCAAAACCGGATTCATCCCCTAGTTTGCCACCCTTAGAAGTGGAATATTTTCTTCAAATTTAAATGGGACTAATACTGAGGTAACAAAGAGTATATCGAGAGCGTCATCTGTACCGCGTCGCGCAAGCTTGGCATCCTGAACAAGGTGCACCGATTTTTTACTCCAGAGCTGCGATACCTGTTGTATAAAGCTCAGGTCCGAAGCAGCATGGAGTACTGTTCGCACCTTTGGGACGGCTCTGCCAAGTACCTGCTCGATGCCCTAGATGGACTGCAGCGCTACGCCTTCCGTGTTGTCAACGATCCTCATGTAACTGAGCATGCGGAGTCGTTACAGCTTCGCAGAGATATAGCGTCTCTTAGCGTATTCTATCGCCTGTACCACGGTGAGTGCTCTGAAGAGTTATTCAACCTTATCCCTTCCTCTCCTTTCCATCAGCGGACCACCCGTGCCGGACTGCGATGCCACAGTTGGACGGTCAGTTCAATACCGTCCCGCACTAAAAAGTTTGGCAATTCGTTTTTATGCCGAACCATCAAATTGTGGAACCAACTCCCGGCGCATGTATTCCCTCCCTTCTATAACATCGGGTCCTTCAAACGTAGTGTGAAGAAGCATTTGGCCAGACCGGCAAAATGATAGTGACGGAGTGAAGATATTTGTGTTTTCCATCCGTTACTCTCATCTCTGGACTGTATTCGCACTTTCCATCAGGTGCGGTGCAGTCATTTTGCCGAGTCACAATAAAAAAAAAACAGAAAAAACCTCTTTCCAACAAAAAATAATCAACAAAATTGGTTCACAAATACCGGAGTTATTGGGTAACATAAGTACATGAAAAATATAAAGAAAATGCAGTCGAATTGAGAATCTTCTCCTTTTTATATATCGGTTAAAAATGAAGACAGAAAAAAAATATTTTTGCGAAATATCTTCAGTAAATATTCTTACTTTGAAATTTTCAATTATTAATACCAAAATCCCATCGAAGGAAAAAAATCTACCTGCAAAGCTTAAGCCTGCATCTGTAATGCTACTAGGATAACCGCTCTACGAAGAGACCTACCGATCGAGTCAGCAGACCTCACGAATTTCTCTATGGTTTTAACAACTTTTTTACCGTAGCGCCAACTGTGACAAATCTATGGAAGTTTTTTTCTCTCAACCATGGGGCCTTTAGAACTACCAGAGATTAACAAGAGATGTTGCTTTTTGAATTGTAATATTGATTGATTGATGATTTTATTCAATACCATGTTGTTTTTTACTACCATAATATTATTATTAATACAAAGATCGAACACTCAGAAAATACACTCAGAAAAATTTCCTTCGATACGGTCGGATTCGAACCTCACGAAGTGAGGTCCGTTGGTTCGTTCCGTGGCTTAGTTGGTATAGCGTCTGGCACGGTATGCAAGAGGACGTCGGTTCGAATCCGACCGGATCGAAGGAAATTTTTTTGAGTGTTTTTCTGAGTGTTCGATCTTTGTATTAATAATTATAACAAACTAGTGGAGTAATTTCACAAAAAATAATTGAATATCTATTCAATAAAAATTTAATTAATACCATAATATTATTTCTTTTGTGAATTAACTCCACTAGTGAATAAAATAAAAACAATATTACGTATTGACATTTGTTTCATATTTACGATTAATTTAAATATAAGTTAAGTACTATACTACTGTACAAAGTAATACTTTTAAATGATAACTATGATAACACTCAATGAAAATATATTATTATACCACATACCATTCTGTTTTTTTACTTTACTTGAGTAATTTTACGGCTGTTGGTTGCTCGATTGATGCTCTTTTTACGATTTAATGCCCTTTTGGTCTGGACACTTTAAGCGCGGACCCGACGTCCATTTGTTGGTAGGTCAATGACATTACAATTTAAATTTGATTTCGCTAATTTCCATTATTACACATACAGAGCGTTGCAAAAAATTAGTAATAGAACAGTTATGCAGTAAGATACTTAAAACTGTTGTTCGTGAGTTTGATGAAGAGCATAAACTTTACAGTCGTATTTTTAATTGTGGTTAACAAACTGGCCACCTTTAGTGTCACTTTGAAAAATAATGCTGCCATGTTAATTATATAGTGATGTACCAGTTTTAAATGAATTCATTGAAACAGAATTAGTAAAACTAAAGAAACTTTGGTAAACAATATTTCATTTCGCTCTTTTCAACTCGTTCTACATACTTCTAACATTTTTTTATTATGAATATTTAATTTTTTAATACAAAGATCGAGCACGAACACAAAGAAAAATTGATTCGATCCGTCTAAATTCGAACCACTTAGGTTTCTCACAGATGGCGCTATGGTATAAAGTCGTTAAAATCTGAAACAAAGACCTGCAAAAGTATACAAGAAATGCAGAAGGTCAGCTGCTTTGCCATTAGTTATTTCACAAAAAATAATTGAATATCGTGGTAGAAGAACATCGTGATAGAAAAACTTAATATTACAAGATATATTTACCTTGATGACTTACTGAGTGAATCAACAAAATTGATCCTATATGACCACTACTTTTAGCTACTAAGCAACTCACTAAACGTCAGTTCAATAACTATAATAAAAATCCGTGTATAGTTTCACTCTTTTAAACCAACTTGCACAGTGGTCTTCCTAATTCCGAATCGTATTGGCAGACAACAGAGCCCAATGACCTTATGACCTCCAGCCCATCCCCCTATCGGAGTCGAGAACAGTGTGACCACACTTTGAGGAACCCTTTACAACTTTTCTTATATAAAAAAAGAAAATTGGTTACACTCTTATCGAGCTATGTTCGAGCTTATGCAAAGGATGACTGAATATAACGACTTGATTTGCCCTTGGATGATAGACAGCGTGATTGAATCAATGGTTGTTTGCATCAATCAGAACAATCATCATCATTTCTAGCAAGTGAAACATTGTCTTTTGGTCAATATAAATACCTAATTACTCAAATCTTAAACTTAAGAATTATTGAACGAAAGTTTTCCAATAAGTCGTTTGAAATTTATGACTTTAATGAAGAAGAAGAATGAAGTTCAATCCTTTGCCACTTCACAGTCAAAAGTAAATTAAATTCCCAGCACTCTGTTAACTGTACTTATTTTTATCATAAGTAGTACTTGAGTAATGTTTGATAAAATATATACGTTGCGTTGTTCAGAATATTACAAAAGTAGTTAAGTGTATTATAGGCACAGAATAACTTTTTAATGCGAAATTTTGAACATTTGCTAGTTTTTATTACTAAACGATGGGTAAAAACCCATTTTACGGTTTCCGCGGGACGATATTTCGAGTCATTGACCATGGACAGTAGCATCACATAAGTATTGTGCATCCTGAATAATTAATACTATGTTAATGTTTAATTGTTAATAATGTAATGTCCAACTCCATGATTTGTTATTTTTATCTAATTTTTTATTTAGTTTATTTTATGCAATATGTAAAATTCAATGATTTGTAAATTTTCATTCAATTTATTTTGTATCAATTCTTATTAAGTATGATTACATTATTATTTCAATATATGATATTAGCTTAAGAATTACTATTGTGTTTGGATATTAATCTGTAAGCAATATGTAATATAATAAGTAAATAAATAAATAAATAAAAGGTAATAAACCACAATAAAAATTCATAAGTAGCTGTTATTATGAGATACTTAAGGTTCAATATAAACAAAAAACAATAAACCGTTTTTTAAAATCCGAACATCGCATTAAACCCAGCTGAATTGTCCTACACACTCCATGAAAATGCGATCCGAAGCCACCCTGAAAAAGGGAGGCTCTTAACGCATGTCCGATTCTGCGCGCTGCAACCTTCTTTCCCGGGCCTTCACTTCAGTGAATGAACGGAGGCTGGCTTAGTCGCACGCCGCCACAGATTATGAGTGAGTGTAGTGTAGTAGTGAACATGTCTCAGAGGTTCTAAAACTATGGCTGCGCGCGGTGGCACGCTCGGCCACCACCCAGCATGTGCGGTTTAGGTGAGCATACCAAATATATCCCAAATACTCCATTCTACACTTCGTTATATTAAACCCCTTCTTACACATAAGTCGGTAACATGTTTTGGCGAAACTGACGTCTATTAAAAGTATTTGAACTGTACTTGAGTCTTCGGTAATCTGTTAAACTAATCTATTTACAATGCTGAAATTGATGATTTAAAATTTTCCACAAGAAAATTCCATAGGTCTGCAATATTCATGACATAAAACCTTGCATTAACCTTGTAAGGTTTATAATGGCGATACGTGAGACGAGATATATCTCGTGATTAAGCGGTTAAATAATGGACTTAGAGACGGTCTAGCGTATATCGTCGGATCTATCACACGACCATTAATATTGAAAAAAAAAAATGTGTTTTAAATAGTTTCGACGAAGTTAGAAACCACATTTCTAACACTTACATGATTGCGTTAAGATCACTTAAATTTATAAAATTATTTGAACGTAACCAATACGCCGCCTATTTCATGTTAAACTTCTTATTCTTAATATCGTAATATTTTTATGAAGATATAACCTTTATATGTATTATATTTGATACGGGTTCATGTATTTAGAATTCAATTGATATACCAGAAAGAGTTGACGTAAAAAGTATAGAAAAGGCGGAAAATTGAGAGGAATTCTTCGAATGATTAGTATTGCCTCTTGATTGCTCTACATTGTTTGTAGAATTAATAACTTTGCAAATGCTGTAATTAATTACATGAAATAATTAATAAAACAAATACAGGTTCTCCACTTAGCTATTTTAAAATAAAAATAATTAAGCTACTTAATTCAATGTTCACTTGAAGATCGTTCTGAAAAACATTTACAGTTTTAACTGTTTTGCCACTATGAAAAAGGCGGAAGAATTAAGAAATAAAGTAACTTCTCTCAATTATCACAGCTTTTTAATATTTGTAATCTTTTCGGAAGTATGTACTATCGAAAAGTTGATATTTTTAGGATGTGCTCCTTATAATAGAATAGAAATAATTTATTCTGTAGAAGAGCACAGTACACACACACATTGTATTACTAAAAATACCAGTTTGCGATAACAAAGTTAGATACAAAGCAAAATGGAAAGCACAACATACCTCATTACAAACTATTTAACAATTTAAGAGAATCAATAAAAAAAATTAATTCAAAAATAAAACAGAAGAAAACTTAAATAAATAATTAATGTAACGAATAATAACTAAGAAAACTGGCAGCGTGTGTGCTTTTACTGCCATATTTACTTACTTATTTCTATGGCTGAAGAACTCTGACTCTGACGCCAAAATAGAGCATAGCTTCACCATATTACAAACACAGATATGTACGATACACTACACGTTTAATTTCTTTTGATTACTTAATGATTGGGACATTTTAAGTGCCGATGATGGAAGAACTGCTACGTGTGTTTACAATTATTGGTAGCAACCTACGATATATCAACCTATATATTATGTAGAACGTTATGAGTTTGTGTTATCTCTCGCTTCATTTACCAATACTTGACGGCCCGATGAAGGAGAATTACAATAGCTGAAAGAACAAGTCAGATGTGAAGAAACGTGGATAGAGGTGGAACAATGTCGTCGAAAGTTAACTTTAGAAACTTTAGGCCGTAAGTTCGAATAGTTTGTTGAATTTTTAGAACGAGATTGGGTAATGCCGCTTTCTGCTGATCCTGTCTTGTCATCGATATTGTTAAAACCCTTTAAATTTAGGCAACATAACAAAAAGCACTTGAGTAATGGAAATATCGGAAACAACGGCGGTACTACAAACAACCAAGAGACAATATAGAAAAGTCAGTTCTTCTACACTGATACGGCCGGGGTTCGAGCACGGGGCCTCAGAGATGGTGATACCATAAAAACGGGTGTGCAAGCCACTCGACCATGGAGGCTTTCAAATAGTATAGTATAGTGCATATAGTTCGAGAATAAATAGGCTACCGTCAAGGTAAACTTTCTGCTATTCATTTCGACTGCGAGAAAATAAAATCCATTACACAAAACACACTGTAAGACAGCATGCGGGCTAGAAATCTATGAAACCTACAGGAGTAAAATTTAATAAAGCATTTTCGCTAACAGAGTTCATAATTTATTGATAAATGTTTGTTTTGCACGCACTGGAAATGCTCTGAATCAACAACATATAACTAGTAAATACGTGTACTTCAGGGACATATGAGAGAATGAACCGTAAAATGAATGAGCTTCTGCCCATTGCTAACGGAGGGGACGCTTCCCAAACTTATAACGAGATTTCTGCGCAAGAGATAAGTTATTCTTTGCCATTTTTCGATAGACCATTGAAAAAGTTGCCGATCAAGAAGAAGTAAATACTATGTAAATATGTTGGGTTTTTATGAATGAATTTTACATACATCCCTCCCCGACATAGAATATGAAATACGCGCGACCAGAGTCGCCATCGTAGAGATCGTCGTAAGAATTTTACATTGAATCAGAGTTTGAATAGGCAGACCGCAGCGAGAGTTTACTAGGCACATCTAAAAATTTTGTTATTTTAGTTTCAACGTCGCAGTAGAGTTCCTTGTGAAAGGGTTCGTCTTGGCAAATGCTGCCATCATACCTACTGCGGTTTGTACTTGTCCATTTTATATCTCAGGGTGCGTACAGTTCTGGCGAATGAGTTGCGAATGTCTTGCATGTGCGCTGCTAGCATATTGCATGCGTTGCAATATATGTGGCGCATTTTCGGCAAATTCGCCAGATCTGTACACACCCTCAGGGTGAAAAACACAGTGGCAGTTTCCTTCAGTCTTTGCGATGAAAGCTCTTAGTGGCACTGCAATTGTATATATATAAGTGGTGGTGGTGAGCGACAAGCCTGTCCATAGCAGTTGCAGTGCCACTGAGAGTCTGAGACATGAGTTGACAAGTCCCATGTGACTGTAATTTCACCAGCTGCCATTCAAAACCGAAACGTAATAGTCACATTACTGCTTGACGGCTGAAATAGGTAAGGTAGCAGTATTTCCTTGGCGAACTCTTCCACAAGGAATTTTACTGTTGCTAAAATGTACAGGTTCCGTCAGTATGTTTCCTTCATAGAAAACTAAAGGATAAATTTCATATTCAATTAAATTTCGCAAAGGGATTCCGAAAAACTCACAGGTGCGAGGCCAGATTCGAACCTTAGCTTCGGCCTCTGCTTGAGACGCGGTGGGCCAAACAATTAGCCTACTACGGCTTCAATAAGTGTTTGCAATACTCTAACCTTATTAATGTTTCATATATAGTAAATAAAATGGAAGTAAATTAATTAACGAACCCAGTGAAGTTTAAATCGTGCAACTACAGCCACAAACAACCACCAAAAATATGCCCGACAAGTGTATCACCTCTCCACGAGGCATCCTCGAGGGCTGTTGACTGCTCGACGCTTGGCCGAAGAGTGAGCTCGTTTTTTTGGATATTTTGCAGTTGGCCGCTGATGGCCTTGACTGCGCCACCGGAGGCTCATAACCCCTAAAATAAATTTAAAGCTAAGTAGCGGGCCTGAGGGCGCCCAAGTGGGCACGGCTCAGGGCGCTACTGGAGACTTCCGCTAGAAGGGCGTGTTGCAGGAGAGATTCTACCAGTGTACGTGCTGAAATGAGGGGCTCTACGACCTCGCCGGCGAGGACGGTTGGTGCGTGAGGGACGGGACTGACTAGCGATCTGGTTGGCCTTCAAAGTGGCGAGAGTGATAGGGCCGTCAGGGTCGTTGAGGATGCAGCCACCACGAGGGGGTTGGGGTAGTGAGGAGCAGAGTCGAAGTATTTCCTCGATGCCTGTTTCATGAGAGTGAGCTCGTTCGGAACAGTTGGTGTATTTATACCCCGCTACCCCCAGTGTTACTATTGTTGTCACACGGGTCTCGCTTATAATGATAGCAAGTAACGATCGATCCACATCATTTATTGTAAAAGGTATAACAGTAGGGCAAAGTGAAGGAAAGAAGAAAGGAAGGACAGACCCAAAAGGGCCTGTATTCGTATGAAATAAATTGCTGCTTTATAAGCAGTTAGGTTTACATGATAGAGAGTGTACGGACTTTCCGAGAATTAGGATGGGAATGGCGATGGAACTAAGCAAAGTAAGAATGGCGAAGAAAAATTTCATTTTTACATTTTATTTCTCCACAGATATACAATTTATACTTATTCTAAAGACCTTGCCAACCTGGGCATCAGGTTGTTGGCAATAACCCTCTTTTACATTACCTATATATATATATATTCTAGTTAATTCTTCATTAAATGAATTAGAGAATAATTTTTTAACGCTCACACTAGGTAAAACCCTAGGTAAAACCCTATCGCCGGTGACTTGTACGTACACACAGACAGCCACAAACATCGAGTATATAACCAGAAATAGGAACGAAATGTCCTTTCATTTGTTTGAAAACTATTCTGCCATATCATTACTGTGACAACTGCGCTCCGATTGGCCAGCACGAATTCGAAACAATTGACGGGTGTCGTCAATTGTTTCACTTCAAATCGACCTTGAGCTTTGCTATAATGGACGAAAATTGCAAAATTACGTATTTAATATTTAATTACCGGTGAAATTTGATTCCGTTTGTTTTGTCATTAGATGTTTTGCTGTTTTTCCTCTCGTTTGCAATTTCAGTGCAACGAGAGTTGATATTTATAAGTGATGTATCACTGATGAGTTACCAGGAACGTGTGGCCCTTATTTCATCTCTATTTCTGGTTATACACTCGACGGCCAGAAATAACGGACCGAACCCGGGACCTCAACGTAGCAAATCAGCATGGTAACCGTTCGGCCTCAGAGGCAGTTAAAATTTGCCAAAAGTGACCAGGAACCAGAGAAAGAACGATAAAAAGGTGGGATGAGGATGAAGGAGGTCGTCACATCGATAATAGTTTCAACGATTCTCGATAGCATTATGTATCTTTGTTTTCGGCAGTCGCATTTTAATACACTGGTAAGATACGTTC